CTGCCGCTCGACCCATCGTGAGCGGCGCTCCTGGCAGGATCTCATAGAGACCCCTCTGACCAGCGCAGGGCTGCACTTCCTCCAGACGGCGCCGGGGGAGGGTGATTACGGGGGCCTGATGGGGAGCATGGCTGGAGAGATGGGGATGTACGGAGGTCTGGGCAGACAGGGCATGTCCCCCGAGAGACGCAGGCAGGCCACGCTGCCCGTACGGAGACACCACGCCGCAGAGAGGGACAGGGAGCGGGACGGGCCCTTCCCTCTGGAGCGAGGGCCGCACACGCACAGCCACTCACACCGACGCTCTCACAAGCAGCGCAGCCAGAGTCTGCCCAGGAACAGGGACCCCGTTCCAGGAAAGCTGTTACACACCTCGGCTCATATGGAGGAGAGGAGCGAGGACGAGGAGGCGGAGGGGCAGGCTGCAGATATACTAGAGGGTGAGGAGGGTAAGGAAATGACACACTATCTATTGTGTACGAGGAAAGAAGCAGTAGTGTGCACAAACCCTTGCAAACGCAAGACAAAGTCTATCTGTCATCAGAGGAATAGACTTTTTAACTAGCTAATGAGATATAGAGAATAAGAATAGTGTGCTGTACATTATGATTTCTTTAATTTAAGACAGTGTTATCTCAGAACGTACACTACTGCAACTAACTAAGTACCTATATTAGAAAGTCACGTAAACAGGCTCAGGGGTGAGAGTGGACCCGGGCAGATCATGTTACACAGGATGTTGGGGTAGAGGAGACAGACAGCATAACCTACTTATAAATGTATTGTGGCTAAGACGGTATCATTCAGGCAGTGGTGGAAGAAGTATTAAGATCCTTTACTTAAAGGTAAGAATACCACACTGTAAAATACTGTAAAAGTCTTCCTGTGAAAATCTTCCTGAAGTTAAATTATTATTTGCAAAGTTTTCCCAAAGTATCAAAAGTAAAACTCCTCATGATGCAGAAAACAGGCCCCTGTGAGTGAGAAACATTTAAATGTTGCATAGATATGTAGTATTATAAAACACTGAACATTATCAGCTTGATACTTTATGACTTTAATTAATTTTATGAAAATTGCTTATAAAAATGATTTTAAACTGATTATATTTTCCACTGCTGATTTTGGTCTTAGAGGTCAGAATTTATCTCTGAGTTGTAGTGAAGAGCATTTATAAAGTGGCATGAAATGGAAATCATATTATTATTATATATAGTATTATATATAGTATCTCAAATTGTAATATTCTCAAACTGGGGGTATTGACACAACATCTTTGGGGTCACAAGATGATCATCATAAATACTAAAATGTCAAATTCTGCCGCACAATATTAAATTGTTTCCTAGAACTAAAACTGTAGCTGTACCTCTTAAAGCATCCCAAAAATATTCAAGTGAAAACCAACCTGTGGTAAGTCTTGTTACAACAGTATTTGTTATTCAGGTGCACGAACACAAAAGTTTGGAAATCATTGGGCCTCAAGCCTACAACAAATGTCAGAAAATAGTGAGCCCGAAAATAGTGAGCCCGAGCCCAAGGTGTATTGCTTGTTTTGTTTCTACCAACTGTCCAAAACACCAAAATAGTCAGTCAACCATCATCAACCAGCTCTACATTGAACCCACCGCTGTGTATCCAATTGAAGCTCATTGTGTCATTCTAGCAGTGAACCTGACTCTTACCGGCCCTCTCCTGGGTGTCTCGGACCTGCGGGAGTTGAGAGTTGAGAGCAGAGAGAGGAGGGTGTCGGAGGGAAGGGAGCGGCGGGTGTCAGAGGGCCGTGAGCCGGAGCCGCCGGACGGGCTAGAGCAGCTGTACCGGGCCCTGGAGCAAGCCAACGTGACGGCCCTCGGGGAGCCAAAACCCTCTAGCAGGCAGGAGTTTCGACGTTGTTTCACGCAGAGAGCGAGGGACCCTCTGCTCAACGACAGGCTGCACCGGGTGCGAGCCCTCCGCAGCACCTTGAAGGTAGCACAAAAACAGAGGATTCTGTCAGAAACACAACAAAGAGTCAGGGATTTACAGAGGAATTAGATGTGTGAGGATTCAATGTGTCTCTTCGCTCCCCCAGGCCAAAGAGTCCGAGCTGGCGGTAATCTGTGCCCTCCTGGAGGACCCTGGCCTGTGCTCCGAGACCTTCAGAGAGTGGAAGCAGTGGCACGGCGAGATCTACACAGACATCTGCCAGCTCAGTCCCGGCACCAACGGCCAGGACGACCTCTCCCCGCTGGCCGTGCCGCTCATGACCCACACACACTCCTTCATTGAGACACACGTGTGAGGAAGATAGCGCGAGCAAAGACTGAACTGACGCACACACACTCACTCACACAAACACAGAGAGCTTTACATCAACTGAGTCGTCACGACTCGGAGCACGCACTCACACACACACACACACACACATATTGTAAGATGTGTAAATATCATAGAGGGAACAGTCTGAGACCTGCGTGTATGAACTTTTGATAATCCTGAGGACCCCACAGGGTGCCTATTGCATGCCTGAACAGAAAGCATTAATCTTCCTTTGTCTATGGAACTCAGCATAAACTCCATGCGCTTGTCGAGCAAAATGGAAAAAAAGGAGACTTTTGAACACGTTTTTTCCTTTCTATTCCCTCGGTTTTGCTATTTTCTTTCCTGTTGATTTTAGGGGGGCAGGGGGAGCTATGTAGCAGCAATACAGAGGAGAATCCTTTTCACCACAGCACTGTACTTTTGTACTGATGAACTTTGCACCCAGAGCCACCAGTTCTCCCCCGTTCTTCTCTTCTTCTTTTTCTCTCACTGCATATCTCGCTGATTTACAGGGACCTCACTTGTTATTCCGGGCTGATCTTACAGACGGGACAGTGTGGGGAAAGTAAGAGCGCTGACTTTTAGTATAAGACTGTGAAAAGGTAGCCATCAATGCGGCTTCATCTGGTTCCATCTGGGAGCCAATGAAAGCAAGCGTCACAAGCATTGAGGAACCATTGTGTCGGCTAGTTGCACACTATTTCAAGCTGTGAACTGTTAAAAAAAAAAACACACACACAATTTTATCCACAGAAGGAGGCTCCTCTGATAGTTTGTATTCTCTCTCCCTCTCTTTCTTTTCCTCTCTGTGTTTCTGTCCATCTCCTCCTTCTATTTTCTTATTTTGTTTCTTTGTTTCCTCTCTCGCTCTCTAGTCGTCAAAGACTTGTGTATATGTGTATACTGCTGTGTATACTGATGTAAATGTTTGCGTTCCACTACCACTGTGATATGTTTCTAGAGGTAGCGGAGGGAAGACAGAGCGTATGTATCTGCGTGGGTGCAAGGCATTTTATCCGTTTTTTTTATTTTTTATTCTGAAACAGCGAATGCAAGAGCTAGAGAGTTCTTTTCAAAGGAGTCACTCACTACAAAGAATGCACTTTCTATATCTCTATATCTCATTGGCTGCATCACAGGGTCTATGTCTCATCGGCCTCTTTACCATTGCTGTTCAAAATATCAGGTAAAAGCATTTGCCGTCTCATTTTCTAAAGATTTGTGTACAGTCTACAAATATATTTAAACATAGAAGAATATATAAATCTATTTACGTTTTGTGTCATAGATATAATGTAAAGTATGATGTATTCTATGCCAAGGTTTTGCAGTGTCCCCCTCTTCACTCTGTAGATGCAGGGTGTTTAGCAGTTGAACAACTAGGAGGCAGACAACAACAACAACAACAACAACCACTATAATTGACAGTTGATTGCCAGTTTTTACATCCCGGCTGACCCTTCTCCTGGTGATGTGTTGCATGAGAAAAGTCCTGGGACTGATTTGATTGGACAGGGTAAATTATTGTGGATCATTTGTGCTCTTTACCCCCCCCTCTCTCTTTTTTTTATCTTCAGCTCATGATTGCAAGATAATTAGACTTGTAGCGCATGATACATGCAAAAAGTACTGTTGAAGAATGAGCTTTTATTTGTATGTTCATAGATTTGAAGTACTCTTCTGTTTCCATTAGGTAGTGTTTGAAGACACACACTGTACAATAACTGCGGCAGGCATTTGTGCTGCTCAGTTACTTACTCTGATGCAGATCCTCCTTTAGCATCCTGCTAGGAGGTTTCAATTTGATGTTTTTGGTTTACATAGAGAGACTGACACGTGTCCAAAGGCTTCAGGAATCTTACCTGAGAGACGACAGTACAGTTACTTCTAAAAAGGAAAGCTATTTTCGACATTCCCTCTAAGCATATGGTCGATACTGGGCAGTTAAAGACCTCCACGCTAAATGGTCTGTAATGTCTGTGAAACTTGGATGAATCATTTCATCTGCAACGTCAGGCCAAGGACTCAACGGTGCCCCCCAGTGTCGAAGGCTCTGAGAGACATGCGTAGCACCTGCTGCATCCAGCACTATCTGTACTTATTCTTCATATTTGACTGGAGTTCTTTGAGTGTAGGTTCAGGTTTTTTTTCATCATGTCACACTGTCGTAAAAATATCAAAACACACCCCAGAGATATAGGTCATGTTTTTTTTTAATGGTTAATTTGAGAGTACCACAAAGAAACTAAATGATGCAAGCACTTTCCCTGTGCCTCCCAACCCTCTCTTTGGCAACAATGGACTAACTATACTGGCGATCCTACACACACATAGCTGCAGAAGAGCTACGATACAGTTTTAGTCTGCAGGCCTCTCTCTGTTTCCCATCTGTAGTGGTCTTCTTTTTCCAACCGCCGCTCCGCTGAGCAGGCGACATACTGTAGATAAGGAAGTGCGAGTTATGATTTGTAGGCACAGACTGTATTATCCCTCCCCAGATCTTTGTGTGTGTAGACCTGCAGAAACAGGCCGAAAAGGGAGATTCCACTGTGTGTTCTTTCAGGGGTGTACACCTCATGGTACATTGCACAGGTGTGTAAGATGTAAGTTGCACTGCGACATTAAAAAAGGAACATATTGCTCTTTTTCAAGGATAATATTAGCTTACTGTTATTCTGTACATTAAACTGACTAAAGATGATATTAAAAAAGAAAGAAAATGACATTTATTCTTCCTAAAGTAGCCTTTTTTGGTTTCATATATATGAATATATATTACAAAAAATACAGATTGTAAACTTAAGTTGTTAAACTTTGACTTCAATAAACTGAATCCTCTGCACTATGAGCTATGATCTGTATATGCGTACCCTTTCTTGGATTTATTGAAACAGCATTACAGCGTGTTCTGTATGGTCATCCCATAAAACCAGGAGGCCATAAATATGGTCTTTTCCTGCACCAGCTAATATGTATTTCAGCTGGACCCTTACCTGCTCATTCCTCATAAGCATCCATCTAAAGAGTTGTAGACAAGTAAACTATTATGCATACATCCGCCCAGGGCATCCATTTTATTCTAGATTAACCTATTTGGGCAGAACTTGACTTTCTGAACCTCCACCTACTGCCCTCTGTGCAATGTGCCTGTACACTCTGAGTCACCATTGTCCATCGCAACCACTCAACTATGCTCAAACAATACTTAATGTGTGGTGGTTTGTGGTAATTTGAATAAACTTAATTTAGGAACATGTAACATATGATCACATCAATAAAAAATGATTTTGAGACACGATAGCAGAAACAAGATATGGCCACAAAAATAATACCAGACTCACCACAGTTACTATTCTACTTAACTCATGCCAAATTTACAGTTGATTAGATTACCAGCTTTTGAGCCCCTTTGTGTCTGGGGCCTTGGACAGTTGCCCTCCTTGCCTTGCCCCTAATACACCACAATATCTTGCACAATCGCCTTAAATGTGGAGGTGCGTTGGCATTTGAACCACAGCACGAAGCTGCTGCAGGAGCCTCTTCAGTCCACTAGGTGGCAGTAGCTGACCGTGGTTTGAGCAACTCGAAGCAGCTCCTCAGAGCCGAAAGAGGAAGGAGGAGGAGGAGCGCTGTCATGGCGGCCAAGGTGAATGCATGACATTTCTTCTTCGTCAAAGTATATTTTTAATGAATGAGCGGGTGTATAGTCCACGTCAGCCGTCCCGGGGTCGTTAATGCCAACTTGGACTGACTCACTTTCCAGACTTTAAACACTATGCTGCATGAAAATCGCTTTGCTAAGTGTCTCCTGTGTTAGCCTCGCTGGAGGAGTCGATGCTAACTAGACGGCGTATACCTAACGTTACATTAGCTAGCTGACAGCAGTGTAACAGTAACGTTCATTATCTGTTATGATATGATATTATGATATATGTAAGCCGTTGCTTCGTTTGCCTTTGAAAGGCTGTTAACACAGTCAGAGGAGACGTTACAGTTAACGTAGGTTAGCTTAGCGTAGGTTGTATGTTATCTACAACACTCGTGAAGGTTTGGGTATAACTTAACGCCACATGTGACCTTATTGTAAGTCACCTCATACATATTGTGGCTGATAAACACGCTGACTACAGCAGTGAAAAGTAGCTAAACACGCAAACTTAAAGCGCTGTATTTAAGTACAGTTTCAAAATATGACGCATGTTGTAGTTTAACGTGCCCAACTGTACACAAAGTCATTAAAATGAGCTCCAGCTGACCTTGCTGCAACATTTAGGTGCAGCATACGTGTCAATGTTTTAATATTAGTCCATAAATATGTAATCATATAAGAATAACACTGGGAAAGCAATGTGTGAGAGTGACTTTAGACGCTTTAATAATGTACTATTGTCCTACTTATGCACTCCTACTTCAGTGAAATGATGGCTGCAGGACCTTTACTTTTAAAGGAGTATTTGTACATTGTCTTTTTTCCACGTTTACATGCATACATTATCTACTATCTTTACCACTGGTCCTCATGAGTCATCTGCCCAGCAGTGATTTGTGTCTGTGTGTTGACGGATACTAAAGTTAGCGGTGCATCCATTCTCATTGTGTCCCAGGTGGTGATGGTGGCCGTCCCGACGGTGATGGGCATAGCCTCCATCCGTGTGTACACAGCGAGCGAAGTGCCCGCTGATGGACTGGTTACTCGAGAGAAGGTATGGATGTCCCAAAGCGTCGGGAGGTCTGATATGAGAAAAACTCTTCACAATTGCGTGCTGACTCTGCCTCTGTCCCCAGCTGAACATCTACAGCCCGCTGCCGCAGTCTGCCCAGGCCCAGTTTGTTCCAGAGAGGCCGGGTGTCATCCAGAGTGGGTTGACTACAGCAAGAGAGAGCTTACTACCATTGGTCCAGGCTGTCAAGGTATTTCCATTTCGCTGTGTATTTACAGCGGTACATGAGAACACATTAGACTTCACAGACACCACTTGCTGCAGATGTCACGCATACTTTCACATTCTGTCTTAACACTTAAAACCCGAGAAAGAACAACCCTTTGATATATCGAAGAAGTCTTATCTTGCACCTGCAGTGTTAGTTTTCCAACCCTGATTTTTTTTTTGGTGGTTTCAGAGCACGATCCCACATGCTGCGAGTGCTCTGTGCAGGCACGACTTTGCAAACAGCAAAGTTCAGGAGTCAGACAGGAAATAGTGTTCATGCAGTGAACTCAGCAGCTGCAAGGTTTGCTGCAAGGAGATTTGGCAGTTTGATACTGTGGAAGATGAGGGAAAAAAAAAAAAAACACTTCACACTGACTCAGATGTAGATGTGTTCTTGATGGCCTGTTGTCGTGGTTCACGTCAGCTCCTTCATGTGTTCCCTGCAGGGCGCTTGTGTGTCTGTGAGAACAAGAAGTGTTGGTATATATTATGGAGGAGAAGGTGAGTCAAATGCATATAGTAAACCAGTGCCCTGAACTCACATGTTTGTACTGACACCCTAGAAAAACATCTCACATAGTGTACCAGAGTCATCTGTTTTATGACCTGGTGTGTTGATGTTACAGCATGTAAGGTTACATTACACTATCTCACACAGTTCACTGTGCTGTGATTGTGCATGCTTTTCATCATGTTTACTGTTTTCCTGTGTTTCCCAGATGTGTACTATTACTTAAAAGACCCTCCACCGGGTTTTCTACCCAGATTGGGAACGGTCACCATGGCCGGCCTGCTTGGCATGTTCTTGGCACGGAAAGGTAACCGGTAACACTTTAGGCCTGCTGGGAACGATTGTTCTGTCATCTATTAATCTGTCTATTTATTTGTGCATACAACAATATGATAGTATACATTACATTACAGTCATTTTAGCAGACGCTTTTATCCAAAGCGACTTACTAAGTGTATTCAACATAGGTATTCAAGAGAACTACTAGTCACCAGAAGTTATAAGTGCATCTACTTTTTTTTTTTTTTTAAACAAGCATCTAAGAGCATAAACCAGAGCAAAAGTACAGTGCAGAAACAAACCAATACAATAAGTGCAACAAACTAGTATGAATACAATAAGTGCTGAGTGGAAGGCTCTGGGTAGTACTTCTTGAAGAGGTGAGTTTTCAGCCTGATGAAAGATGGACAGCGACTCTGCTGTCCTGACGTCAGTGGGGAGTTCATTCCACCACTGTGGGTTCAGGACAGAAGAAAGCCGTGACCGGGTCGATCGGCCGCAGGGACCTCTGAGCGACGGGACAACCAGTCGCCCCGAGGCAGCAGAGCGAAGTGGTCGGTTGGGGTGTGTAGGGCTTGACCATGGCCTGGAGATAGGAAGGAGCTGTTCCTTTCACTGCCCTGTAGGCTAGCACCAGAGTCTTAAACTGGATGCGAGCTGTTACAGGGAGCCAGTGTAGAGAACGGAGAAGGGGAAGTTATGTAGTATAATGCACAAACCACAGTTAAACATGTGGTTTGTGTATTTACATAAATGTTCACATAGAGTCCCATCACTCATAACGATATTTAAGCATATGCTCATATAACTCATCATATTTTTCAAACTGCATACAATTTGCATTGTTTCCTTTCCTAGGGAACCATGGGGTATTTCCCTTTGTGCCATTCATTCTGGGAAATAACTCTTGGTTCTGTAAGAATTTTCATCACAGGAAATCTACACTCGTACTTGGATGTATCAGTATTTTATTAGAAACTGGTAATTTTGCATGAATACAAAAGGATCGGCCATGAGTCCCTTGCTCTATCATAGTAGCATGCAAGCTAGCTCAGGTTCTCTTTAGCTTAGAATGACATTTTGCCGTGCAGCTGCGAGGTAGTAACAGCTGTACGTAGTAAATCCTCGTGTTTATCCACCATGCCACCCAGAATGTGGACGTCTGAACGTATAAATAATACATGCCGTGTTAATTTAGCACACGAGTCTCGTACTTAGGCTCAATCCCTTTCTAAAACACAACATCCTTGTCATACAGCAGGTGCGTGTACGATCGTCTCACAGACAGCTGTCACAGGTTACCAGCTTTTTGCAGACCACAGTTTGTCACTTTAGTCCGAAAAACCTCAACAAAGAAGCACAACTCGTAAGAAACGCGTGAAGTTGAGTTTCTGTTTCCGTTTTTTTCTCAGCAGTCTTATACTCTCTCTGTGGGGAGTCGGTTAACTGACATTTCTCAAAAGCAGGCACAGATTGTGTTTGGCTCCAGGTTTTAATCTGTGCCGAGTTAGATTGATTTCCATTCTTTATTCTAAACTTTATTTCAGGCTCTCATTTCAAGAGGTTAGCCGTTCCACTGGGCCTGATGAGTGCAGGAGCATCAGTGTGCTACCCGGCTCAGACAGTGGCTGTGCTCAAGGTACCCTACTTTCAAAAAAAAAAAAAATGCTGACCTGTTGTTAATGCCAGTAACAAACGTTTAACGCTAAGTATCTCTTGTGCTACCGAGGTGACGGGTAAGAAGGTGTATGCTGTGGGACAGAGGAGCAGCGCTGCAGTGTCTTCACTGCTCAGCTCCAAGTCCCCCGACATCAAAGAGACTGCTGCTTCACAACCACAGGTTGGCAATCACATTGAGTTACTGAAAAGATTCATTCTGAACATTATATATAGATGTAACCAGCAACTATTAAGTACAATGTACTGTAAAGCTGTTTTCACTGTGTGTGTGTGTGTTTGTGCGAGAGAGACTAAAACCAAAACAGCGGTTCAACCCAGATCATGGTAACTCCCTTTCCACTAAATGAATTTCCAGTCTACACTTTCTACCTTCTCAAAAAATCCCTCATGCATCTCAAAAGGGTTGTAATCAATGTCCTTTCCCAGTAAGTTGCCATTTTATGACTGGTGTATTGTTTCTGTTATTGGCTCTTTGCGCTTCATACGTCGTGGCTTGGAGATCTTTATCTTCAAATAAAACTCACTGCAATCACTCCGTAGTGTCAGCTAAATGCCTAAAATATAAAATGCTAATGTATGCAATTACGTCCCCCCCCCCCCCCCTCCTCTCCATTCAGTGTAATTAATCTAATCTATTAGAACTGAAATGTTCTGAAGGCTGGGTAGTGCTTTATTCGGTTTATAAACGTAATGTGTTTCTTCTGTCACTGACGAGTACAGTTTAGGTGTGATTAATGAAATGGTGAAATCCATAATCGTAATTTGATATACAATAATGTATGCAAGTCTTCGTTAAACACATTTGAATCCATTTGATTCTTTGTCCACGTTAGACAGCTGCAGTAGTTGAGGAGGCCTCAGAGTCCGGCTCAGGCCAGAGCTCTGCAATCCCAGAGACGGAGGTTGAGTCAGCCGAGTCTGTTCCTGCCTCTGATGAGTCTGCTGTCGTAACAGAGGAGCCGTCATCAGTAGAACTCGCAGAGATTCACCCCGACCAGACCCCAACAGAGACCGACACAGGTATGGTAGATGTTGATCTCTGCCTGCTTGTTTCTCTGTCTACGTCTGTTTTGTGTAACACAAAGGCTGCTACTGCTGGTTTTGCCGTATTTCCTCTCCTGTCCAGATCCAGTGGCCCATTCAGTGCCAGTAGAGACAAAGGCCACCTCTGAAGAAATATGTGCATCTGTTGAAAGTGAGGAGCCCTCGGGCACAAAACAAGCAGCAGATATCTCCACTGACGCCAGCCCAGCCGAGCCCACGCCAAGTTTAGAACCAGAGACGTTAAAGGCTTCTCTAGTGGAGTCTGCCACGGTGGAGGAGTCTGTCCCGGTAGAGTCTGCTGTCCCGGTGGAGTCTGCTGTCCCGGTGGAGTCTGCTGTCCCGGTGGAGGCCGCTGTCCCGGTGGAGGCCGCTGTCCCGGTGGAGGCCGCTGTCCCGGCGGAGGCCGCTGTCCCGGCGGAGGCCGCTGAAGTCGGTTCCATTGGTTCCTCTGAGGAACCACCAGCTCCAAAGGCCTCAAATGAGCCAACAGGTACGATACATTTTCTGCCCGTAGTGTCAAAGAACAGAAAGTGCTCTTGGAAACCCACTGTTTCTCCTCAAACTATTGTACTGGACCGTCGAGTACAATACACCAATCCTTTGTAAACTGCCAAGAGGTTGCTGAGAACATTGCTGAACGTTTGCTGAGGATGTTGTTACTATATTATAATAATATTATAATGAAGTTACAATAGCTTTCATAAAGGTGGAAACGCATCAGTTCATGTACGTGCTGCTGATGCTCTGTTGTATTTTGATATGACTCCACAGTGCCAGTTGTTGAATCAGCGGAGTTAACTGACCCACCACAAGTTGCTGCTGTGGAGGAGACCCTCACACCACCTCAACAGCCTGCACCAGAAAACAGCCAAGGTACAGTGAACTGCTCCGGGTCGAGAGTCGGGCATCGAGACACAAGCATACACGCACTGCTCCTCTTCTGAGAATTTCCTGAACTCCAAGTTACCTACACGTGTTGGGTCTGGTGCTTGTTAGTTCGCGTGGTGTCCACTTTCCAGACAGATCGCCAGTTTCCAGTGAAATTTGTCTCACCAGAGCTCTGAAGTCCTTAGAAAAACATTCCAGTTTGACAAATCCAGGAGAGAATGATTTCTGCTATTAACTGAACCATAACCTGTGGGAGTCTTCTATTGGATCGCAAAGAATGATATTCACCAAATAAACCATGAGAGGAATCTGATGTAATGTTAGCGGAGTCAACATTTGATTATATGCTGTTTGAAAACGTGTTGCTGGACCCCTCTCGGCAGCCTGTATTTAATCTGACCAGAGCAACAATGTTACGATGCAGTGATCCCATAACACTGTATTCTACCTCTTACTATATATGCCTGCCTGTTTATCTGTATGTCGCTTATCTCGAGAATCGTTCGTCTACTCTACATTTGCTGAGTGTATTTCTAGAGACTCAAGGGAGTTCTTCGTCAAATTTGGTGCAATTTGGGCAGTTCAATAATAATAATAAACCTTGAATAAACAAACACAGCGCTCTGTTCAGCGGTTGGGGGCGGAGCTTCAGGGCTCTGAGTCCAGCATGCCGTCCGCAGCGGGCAGACTGCGGCTCATTGACTTCAGTTCCCTTTAGACCTGAAGTCTTCCTCACGTCCCTGGAGTCAACACCAGCAGATGGAAGCAGAACTGAACTGGAGCAAATTTCACCTTAAGTAAAGCTGTGACTTGGGTGTTTTTTTTCCCCCCCCAGTAACATGTCACAGGGACAGTGAATGGAGAATCTACACATGCGGGAGAAAGTCAAACATCACATCACGTCCACAACAGACTGTATTTTCCTGCGGCCTGACTTAATACTAAAATTATAATCACGTTACCGCCAGCTAAATGCCTCCACTGATTAAGTCAATGCTCTATCACAGTTTAGCAGCTACGCCAAATCAAGCATCTAATATTTGTAAATGACCTCCTCTAAGTGTTTCACCGATGTTGGGAGTGTTTATCAGGGGCAGAGTTTGTGATTTGGGGGCCCCTGGTGAACGCCAACCTACTTTACTTTTCACCTTTTCTCTAACTGTGAATGTTGGTATTGGCAGCGGTTAGGGTTAGGACGGCTATTTTGATTATTTTTCCTGCAGTAAAACTATTAATACCACACAGTAATTCAAAGTGAAAGAGGATTTATCAGCACAATAAACTTAAATGTAACATCAAAGGGGAGCTTTCAATTCTAACATGATGCTGGATAGTTAAAATAAGTTAAATAATAATACATTGTATTTGGATTGTTATATTTTTTGAGTCAAATTTTAATCAGCAACATTTCTCTCTCAGGTAAATGTACTATGTTTACTCTGAACTAAAAGTAGAAGTACACAGGAAGTATGTAGTGTCCAGTTGAGTTACATATTTTTGGGGGCCTTTCTCAAGTTATTTTAGGGTACAATGAGATAGAATAGTAAAATAATTCAATGTTTTTCATATCTAAACATCATGATGAATGTATAGATGTTTGTCTACCTTGCCGAACCGTAAAGTAGGCCTATCTCACCAGTGTTTCTGAACCTGCGTAGCCGTAACTTTGGTGTGTGACTCAACTATGTCATGGCAGGAGTTTTACTGAAGACTGAACGGGAACAAAAATTAAGCAGAATCCGTCTGTTTACTCCAATTAGCATCAGTCTCCACAGAAAATACATGCACAAGACCCAGCACACCCAGGTCACTCGGCATCCTGGTCCTTCCAGAGGGAGAGATGTGGTGTGTCTTTGTAAGAATCAAAGCCCATCGTAGTGAAAACTAGTTCACTGGTATTGTACGATCACAGATGATTGACGGGACACTGTGGCTGTGACCCTGGTACTCTAATTCATTAAGATTATTTATTTTTCGTTGATTCTCACATGGGTTTTGTTGTTATTTTAGTGGATTGTTATGGATTTATTGTCAGTCTGGACTATCCTAATCCCTTAAAGTTGAACATGTAATATTACTGTGCTTGTGACAAGAGATTTTCTTGCATTTCTCTTGCTGCCCTCCAGGGGGCTCCGGTTTCAAGCCGGACCCTGCTCTACAGGACTTTGGCCAGTCCAACCCCGAGGATGAAGACCTGTACAGCACACGCAGCTGAGAGACCACAGCCAGGCCGCAGGAGAAAGCTCGTTCCCACACTGCCACCTCCTATCTCATTCAGATCCACAGACGCTCTGTATCACTAGTAAATAGTTCATTTTGCAAGACTTTCATCAACATTTCTATTCTCATTTCTTCGGCCCACATAATTTATATTTCCACAGAAATTGCAAAGCAGCAACTCCAGAGCTGAGTCAGTTTATGTAAGACGGAAACATGGAAAACATTAAACCTACAGCTGTTTACAAGTCTTTTCATCCTCAGACGGCAGATTGTGAATTTTTCTCTCGGTATGTGTCATTTAATAATTATTAGCTTTTTTGTGCGACAACTTTCACAATCATGAGTGCATGCAGGTTTATTTCCTGTAGGTTATCCCACTGCGTAGGTATGCTGGAGGTACTGCACATGTGCTGGTAATAATTATAAGATGCACTATTGCTGTTCCATTTTATGACGTCAAAAAATGGTCCAGTTTAGAACCAAAATAAATCTATATTTTTCATGATTTAATGTTGTGCTTTGTCAAGTAACTTCATATTTGTCAGTTATATTTAGTTAGTTGTGTTATTTATTGTCCTGCACAGTAAGTGCTTAACACAAACAGGCTTGAAACATTTGTCACACAAGCACGTAACTTCTAATTCATAACAACATTGCAAACAAAGAACTTTGTCTTCGGCCCCAAAGCTCTGCAAGTAATATCAGAGACGGAAAAGGCGCCTTCCAAAAACAACTATTATGATCATCAAACTCCTCCAAAAGCCTCATTAGAAATGAAGGACATGAAAGTGTAGCTCTAAAGTCATCACACAATTAGCTGCTGAACAGGAGATTGACTTGATCTTCAATCGCACCTAAATCACATAAAAGCCTTTTATCTTCAGGGAAACCATTCATGTGACTCTGTGTGCACAGCTGATCTGAGATCAGCTGTGCACACAGAGATTTGACTTTGGTTAGATTCTGCTACACATAAAGCTTTTCCCTGTATTAAGTTTTCTGTATTATATTTCAGTGTTCATTTTGATATATATATATATTAATATCAATGTGTTTTATAACCAAATACTTGCAAAACTGATGACATTCCTATCAGCTGTACTTTGTTTATTGCTAATTAGTATATGTTAGCATGCTAACACTGCACTAAGATAGTGAACACTGCAAACACCACACCCGCCAAAAACCAGCATGTTTTCATTGTGAGCTTGTTTGCTTACATTAGTGTTTAGCTCAAAGCACCACTGTGCCTGTGCATAGCCCCTCAGTCTTGTTAACATGTTGTGCTACAATTTACTCAATTAGTTGAACCAAGTTGTACCAAGTCAGAGACTGACTCATACTGTAGACATTTAAGTGAGAACAGCATCTGTAAAGAACAAGTTGTGTAACTGCTGGAATATGTGGCCCCAAGTGATGCAGTCATTGTTTCCTGAAACAAAAGCTGGGACACTGACAATCACAAACACACGTACAGTAAAAATGGACAAATAGTAATAATAGAAATGATTCTCTTGAGGAACCGGTGACGTTGTGTTTTGGCTACTTTTTGGTGCCACATGTTTTTGCCCATTTGTGTGAACACAACGTTCGTAGCGAAGGACCAGGCTATCTGTTAACATCTTTATAGCTTCTTTACGGCCCCTCGGAGGAACCGGAGCTCCCCGGACCTCATAAACTCTGCTCGGGGTCGACCAGAGTCGTGACCCCTGGGACTCTGTGTGTTGGTGTGTGAGCATGAGTAAGAGAAAAACTAAAGAGAGGGATCAATACGATGCCAATACTTTCTCATCCTCCTTCCTGTTATACATGGGATGAAAACACACATGGTAGCCAGGCATCCTGTGGCATCGGAGCTTCAGTGTGTGCTGCTGCTTTGAGTCGAGGGGTTAAGGGACTTGTGGGCTGGTGTTGCTGTGATGTTTTTTTAGACGGGCACTGGCAAATGTTCTGTTGAAAATAAATAAATAACAGAAAGAACTCCAGAAAAAACTTGTGCCCTGGACTCATTATCCACCGACAGACAGCATTAACACAACCACATGGAACATATTGACTCAGATCAGAATAGAACAGAGCAGAGAGAGAGAGAGAGAGAGAGAGAGTTGGAATGTTTAAATTCCCTGCAACCCTTTCCACTCTCATGGACATCTTGTTGCTGTAAGCTCCTGGGGCTCAGTGTTGGAGACAAGATGTGACGCTAAGTATAGCCTCATCTCGCCATTCTCAAGGGTCCCTTACACATGTGGGGCCCCCTTCATTACAGTATCCCACACAAGCAGCGGCTATGATTATGTTCTGAGAACAAATGTTAGACTGGACTCTGTCATGTTGTCCAGAGCTCGTTCAGATTTGTCTTGACCAGCAGAGAGGAAGCACGGCTCCCAACCCTGACCTTTCACCTCTCAACCCCATGAGCCGTATTTTCCACAGAGGACTGTGTGACGGTTACGGCCTGCGATGGTTATCTTCCCAGGATCCGGCTTGTGAGGGAGACCCCCACGGTCAAATAAACACATGGCACATTTATCAGTAAAGAATATAAACACAACAATTATGTAAGCAATTTAAGGGTGTTTGTGAATACAGTATATGTTTACTTGTGCATGTCGACCTCTACGTTATTTGTATAGATCAGTGTGTGTACACAGTATGTGCGCATGGTCTTGTGCAAACAGTTCCCTCTCTTTTTCTCATTGATGTAGATAAAGTCTGATGTTGGCAGCTCATTCTGCTCAGCAGAAACAGTGTGTGCACATAATGCACACATGCCTATCAACTAATCATTGGTTGTTTTGCAGACAACTGATAGCTGTATAACTTTTGGTTGCAGCAACATCCACAGATATAAAATAATTATATATGTAGTTAATGAGAGCAGAAGAAAGAGAAAGAAACTTTTGACAAAGTACAGTTGCAAAAAGAAAAGAAAGGAAAAGAAATGTCAAGCTTTTAATCCAGAAAAAAAACTGAAGAAATAATTGGCTGGGAGATTGATGTCCAGTACGGGCTGTGATGTGAGTTGAGGTTTGATGCTCTCTGCTCCATTGCTCTCCTTATCTGCTGCCTGCACGGACACTGCCTTTTGGATCATCAAACAACCCACAGACGAACTCCCACTCCTACACATGCTCAAACTGTTTATCACTCAGCCTCTATTCGTGCATCTAACACCCAAAGAAGAGAGGACATTTTAAAATTGGTGGCAGAATTACCGAACCTTGTTTTTAAATGCGATGCAATCCATAAAAAGTGAAACATTTATCTACATGCGTGCTACATTCCAACTGAATTGATTGTCTGAAGATAGGATAAAGTGACATTGCCCCTCCAATTGTTGACAAAGGTCAAAGAATGTCAAACAGGAGCCGCTCTGAGATAAAAAAACGAACACAAAAAAAAACCCCAAGTGAAAGTAAGATCGTCTGAATGTGTAGCTAATAGACGAAGGAATCTCTTCATTTGAATGTCCATAACGTTTTCACTGTATCAAGGTTTGTACCTACTGTAGCAGTGGTGGAAGAAGTAACCTTAGTCAACTCCTTTACGTCAGTAGTAAGTAACATTAGTGAATAAGTAGTTATAATAACACACATACACAATACAGCCATGCTAGCAACTCCGCGAGGCTCTACCTCATGCTAACACCAGCGTGCTAACATGCTCACAGTGACGATGCTAACATGCTGATGATGAGTACAGTAGCTAACAATCGTGTGTACTATATACTCCAACAATCTAATGTTTTGTCAGTATGCTAAAATTGATTAGCAAGTGCAGCTGAGGTCAGGAATGTCATTAGTTTTCAGAGTAATTGGTCCTAAACTTAAAGATGGGGTCGGCAACATTGTAGAAACAAGCAAGAGTGAGCTAGATATGAAAAACCCCGCCCAGTGGAGGAGAAATGCTTTAGAGTTCCGCCCACTCCGGTTCTGAGAGGTGAAGCCATCAGGGGGCGACTCCTCTGGTTGCACATAGAAGTCTGATTGTCTTTGAGGAAATGACTCTATACTTCTCACTTGATTCATTACCTCAGTAAAAATTATGAACAGGAGTTTATGGTCTCAATCGCTAGTTTTATGTCGTCTTCAATACAGCATGATTTTTATTTAGTGAATGATGGTCCTACTTAGAGTAAAATAGAGCATCATGGAGCATGCTTCAGGACGGGGCTACCTTATGATTGACAGGTCGCTTCCAGAGCTGTATACTGCGTCTCTACGTCACTCCTACGCACTCCAAATATGGTCAACTCCGTTCACTGGTTGCAAAAAAAACAAGATTGTGACTGCCAAAATCAATTGGTTGATCAATTTTTGTCTCAGTAAATATAATATAACAATAAAATAATTGAATGATTTGTTAAGTTTTTAAAATTCACATTGAACATCATGTTCAGCCTTTGTTCAATGTTCTTATTGAATGAAGAGTATTAAGTAAACAATATAAATATGCAGGCCTAATATAAACCGTGCCCCTGTTGTGTACGAGTACTAAAAATAATAAGTTATTAGTTTGTTTTATTTCTAAATCCTGCTGTCAAAATCACCCGAATGATGGAGAAAACTAGAGATTGTTGTGAGAGAGGTAATATGATGTTTTATATTGTTTTTGTTATAGTTTCCTACTGTGATTGTCGGAGGCAATCAACGCCACCTGTGGATTAGGAAGTAAAAACATAATGGTCACGGACAGGAGAGATTTAACAGTTGATGATAAACACAATACGTACAATCAGTGTAAGATTGTGGAGTTTAAGAACCAACGGTCGTTGCTTGTTTCCCTTGTGATGATTCTGTTAATTTTCTCTTGCCTAAATATGGTTTGTTACTACAATTAATCTCTGCATATGTAACATCTAGAGCAGCAGTTCTATTATTTATGGCACAATTTGAATCTACAGCATATTATGCCCCTATTTCTGTAATGGCCTCACATTACCTTCTGCTTAAGTACTGCAACGGCACCATTGTTTGGCAGAATGATCTACTTTAAGGAGGAAGAAATATGCTTGTAATGGCATATCGGTTTGTTCAGTGATTTCAAGATATTGATAGTTTCTACAGTTAATTATTAAACCTCCATTTGGTCTGTAACCCATTTGTTTACAGCATTGTGATTGCTGAAATAATTCTGGAACATATTACAAACACCATTCTATGTTGGTAGACATGATAAGTGAAGGTACCCACGGTGTGCCATCTGTGTTAAAATTATACCCGAGTGTGTGCGAATGCCAAAGACAACAAAAAAAACAAGCAGAAAACAATCAGAACAAAGTCACATCCACTCCTCTCCTATTAGATCTTCTACCGCTCAAGGGACGACGTAGTGACTGATTATTAACAGCAAAATAAATGGAAATTAAATGAGATGAAAGAAAATGTTGGGCTTGAACGCGAGCAACATGGTTCAACTTGAAATGAATGCAACTCAATATTCGGATCACTTTATTTATTTAGTGTTTCATTGAATCGACCAGTGATTTCTAAACTGTGGTACCTGAGCTGAAAAACAATTGCACTCCAACAGGCCCAAGTCCTTAATTTGGAGCATTGGAGCCGGAGACACCAACAGACTTAATAAACTGGTTAAGAAGGCCGGCTCCATCATTGGCTGCAAACTGTACAATCTGGAAGAGGTGGTGGAGAGGACACTGAAGAAACTATTATCCATATTGGATAACCCGGACCACCCTCTCCACCCCCTACTGCAGGGACAGCGGAGCTGAATCAGTCTGTTGGAGAAAGTGCTCACAAGGACAGATCCAGGAGAACATTCCTGCCCTCTGCTATTAGACTCTATAATAAATCACCTCTGTCCACATCATCCTTCACATGACTACACACCGCTACACTGTTGTTGTTTGCTGTTGGTTGATCTTTGCACTACTGTTCAGTTTACCTAGTTAGTTAATTTAATACTATTCCATTTCATTGTATATACTGTGCATTTGTATTGTTATTTTATTTTCTGTATATTTAATATGTTCTACTCTGTTATTTTATTGTATATATTGTGCATTTTTCATACTTAATATTTGTATTTTTACTCTGCTGAAGTATATCTTTGCTGCTGTAACAAACAAATTTCCCCCTGGGGATGAATAAAGTATCTATCTATCTATCTTAATTTAAAATCCCCAAAATTGTCATTTAATTTGTTAACAGACAACAATTATTCATTGAATATACACATCATATTACAATAATGTAGTCACATTTTGGACTCCTCAGTCGTTGATCAGTTTGGGAACCTCTGGCATAGATCTATGGGAACTATGGAAGAGTTTTCTGGTTTGTCCAAATCTTGTGCATCAATTTCATTCATGAAAAGTATGCAATTATATAACTATAAATTCCGTGTATTACTGTTGTTTTTACTTTAACTGTCATTTGTGTTGCATGTTAAGACAGGTGCTTTTATTTGTCACACACTTTTAGATTTGCAGCCTCAAAGGACGACGTCTGGGAAGAAGAGAAACATTCTACAGACCAACTGAGAGGACGTCATCTCTGTGCTGAAGCTCGGAGGGAGGATATTTTTTCTTATTACCAGCTGCATTTTGTTAAATGTTGTTGAATATTGAAATTGTAAAAAAATATTTTTGGCCTCTTAAGCTTTGTTATGAACTTCTTGAAAATTCATTGAATTATAGGATATAGTCTGTAATAGTCTGGAAACTGTAACAGTCAAATAACGTGATGTTTATATTTGAAATGAGTGTCTGTCATGTGTTTTTTTGCCTCTCTGTCCTCCAGGAAACACTGGAGGATCAACTGGAGAGAAACATGGAGGCTCATCCCAAGCAGCTTAGCTGCTTCCAAGACGAGATATAATAGTATAGTATTTCAAATAAGGTCATAATAAAGCCATTGTATAATATGTCCAAAAACAGTCATACAAGTAATGGTATAGTATTTCAAATAAGGTCATTAAAATTCATAGTAGAGTATGTAATAAAAGTAATTGACAAAAGTCAGTTTAGTGTGTTTAAAAAAGTTTAAAAAAAAGTAATATTATAGCATATCTAAAATAGTCATGGTATATAGCATGTCAAAAGATTTTTATAAAAGAGTTAAATTATAGCATTCTGGGAAAATGCTATATTAAAAAAAAAGTAGTGTGTCTAAAAAAGTCATAACAAAGTCATAGTAAAGTGTGTAAAGAAAAGTCATTATATTAATAATTATAAAAATGTTATTACATTTTATTTGTATAGCTCTTGTAAGTGATGAGATCTAAATAGCATGTTGAGTAAAGTATGTCATAAATAAAGTCATGAATTAGTATGGCAAAACAAGTCATAAAAAGTCTTGGTTTAGTTTTTTTTTAATTCATAGTATAGTATGTCAAAAAAAGTCATAGTATAATTTCTTGAAAAAAGTCATAAAAAAGTCATAGTATAGTATGTTGGAACAAGTCATAGTTTAGTTTGTTGAAAAAGTCATATAAAAGTCAGAATAGTATGTCAAAAAAGTCATAGTATAGCATGTCGAAAAAAATCATATAAAAGTCATAATATAGTATGTTGAAAAGTCATAAAATAGTTATAGTATAGCATGTCGAAAAAGTTGTAAAAAAGTATAGTATGTCGAAAAAAGTCATAGTATAGTATATAGAAAATTATCAAAAGAGTTATGAGGACTCAAGTATTCAAGCATCATTTAGAGTAATTATGCAACACAGGAATGCACAACTAACTGCAGTTGTAGCCAATTTGAAACAGAAGAAAGACATGACAAACAAAACAAGAACAGTAGTGAATTCCTGGAGTTCATTTCTTTCAATATGCATCATACGGAATGTAAACAGCAACAACAAAAGCAATTCTTTGGGCAGACCATATGGTCGACATCGTAAAAAATTAAAAATTCAACATCAGGATACAATAGTCCATTAACTTTGACTATGTTTGTGCATCATGATGAAAACACGGAGTCCACCTCCTCTAGTCCCACAGAAGTCCTGCCATCTGTTCTGAAGTCAAGCAGCTTTTTTCCGGAACCACGATTGAGAAAGGTTTCTGTAAAGATGTGGACACAACAGTCACCAACCTCATGTTAAGTTAAGTTTTATTTCATTAATCTTATTTTTCTGCTACCGGACACCAGTCAGCCAGGAGTAGGCCAGTAACCTCGGCTCATATTATAGTATGTCGAGAGAACCCCATAAAAAGTCACAGTATAGCATGTCTAAAAAGTCATAATGAAGTCATAGGATAGCATGTTGAAAATGTCATAAAAACATCAAATTATATATATATATATACACTTTTTGGGGGGATATAGTTATACTTCTATTGTAGCTGTTAAATGTCCTTGTTTTTCTAATATTTCTCTTGTTTATTGTATATATTTCATGTGTGTATATGTACGATGAGATTAATATGTAACCGGAGTCAAATTCCATTTATGCGCACGCATACATGGCCAATAAAGCTGATTCTGATTCTCATAGTATAGCATGTCGTTTTTTGCGATTAAAAAAAAAACTGCGTTAACACGCGATAAAATAATTGTCGGCGTCATTTAATGAATGCGTTAACATGATAATAACATGCAGTTATCCACATGTCAAAAAGGGATTACAGCTCCTACCTTCTCAATATGCCTAAAAATCACTTGAGTGGAACCATAATGTAGCAGAAAATAATACAAGTGCCTCCAAATTACAGTAGACTACAGTGCTTCAGTAACTGTACTTCGTTACTTTCCACAACTAGATTACAGAGGACCTAAGGGGAGGCAGAGACATGGTTCTGTCCTTTTAGTCTGTCATCTTCTATTTCTGTTGGCCAGCATGACACCATCAATTTCAGTTTTTAGTTGACTTTGGCTTCTCTGTGTATGTGTCTGTGTGAGAAGAACAACTGTGCATACCCAGCATGCCAGTGGAAGCACAGCGCATTAGGAAGTTTCCGTTTTGCAAAGCCTAACCATCACATTTGAACAATTCGTCCCATGCAGCGAATTCCAAATTTGTCATATCCTGCAAGAAGGTCTTCATCTGCGGCCTTCCAAATGTGCTGCTTTCTGTCCCGCCTTCCTCCATCATCCTCACCGTCAGCTTTCCCAGTGCTATTAGAACATTCAGATCCTGATAGATACTCAATGGAGCAGAGTGCACACACACACACACACACACACACACACACAAACACACACCTAAACACACACCTAAACACGCATGTAAACAGAGGCGAGCACATTGCGTTGATGCGTGAATGCCAGGCTGAGATTAAGTACATTCAGTTGCACAACTACTAAAGCAAAAGTGCCCACGTACACGTGTAAATGCACGTGCACGGACAGGGAGAGACGCACGCTCACACCGTTGATCAAAGGAGCTGTGATGTAATCAGTCTCAGAGCTTTGCGAGCATCCCTCATTAACTTTTACCAGAGGCTCTAATGAAAAACCACTGGAGGGAATCTCCGTTTTCTCTCCTCCTTTCCCTCCACTTCCTCCCCCCTCTCGCTTTCCTTCTCATCTCCTTGTTCACTCCCTGCAGTATCTGCTCGTCCTCCTCCTCATTCATCTTCCACACTGTGCCTCCCCTCTCTCCCTCTGCTCCAGTGGCTGGCTCGACTTCCACTGAGACAGAGTAAATATTTCCCATGGCTTATCTGACCGCTGACAGGACGAATATGACACAAAGTGCGAGGCTCCGCTAATTAACCCGCGGCCTCCGTTCCTCGGGTCAGAGGTCGCAGCGGGGACAGCTGTGGCTTTAAGTTTGACACCTCAAACACACTGGTTGTGTGAATAGTCATGGTCAGGTATGACTCATGGTTTTGTGTCTGCAGTCACTGGAGACGCAGCTATTACTCAACCACACATCTTGACTTGATTTTCTTAGTTTTGGCCTTTTCTGGTAGAGACTCTGGGAGGGAGGGAAAAAAGGAGGGATCGAATGAAATATACAGATAGAGAGAGAGAGAGAGCATGCTGGTCTTATTCTCTCTGTCTCTGCAGGCTGGCTTGTGTCCAGGTACAGTCCAGCCTCTTGGTTATGATGAAGGTGGGACGTGTAAGCGACTGCCCTGTTATGCAATCATCATGAGGCTCTTGGGGGCTATAAGACCCCGAACCTCATCTGGTTTCTCAGAGCCTTCAGTCTGCTTTCTCCACACACACACACACACACACACACACACACACACACGCTCACGCTCACACACACACACGCAGACTCACACAAATACAGAGGCATGATATGGTCCGGAGTAGTCAGTTGTGCAGATTTCTCTTCGAGGGGTCAGAGGAGCAATTGTCAAGACATGGACTTTAGCCAAAAGAAGCATTGAAACCCGCCTGCCTGCTTAGACTGGAGGCTCAATCCCTCACAGGTAAGATGACTTCTTTAAATAGATAGAAATCACATTCTGAGTCTGCTTTTATTTGTCATTATCTCATTTTAAATTTAAATGAATCCTTGTTAAAGTTTCTTTCACTAATTCAACTGTCTTAACATAACGACGAGTTCTTTTTATTGAAACAGTTATTTGGAGATGTCATTTCACTCATCTAACTGATTGCCTGCTTTAAATTAAATTAAGTTTCTGTTATTAATAATGCACTTCGCTGGTGCACCGGAGCATAATAGGATCAGTTTCAGTGACTTGAGATTCCTGTGAATCCATTAAATCGAAAATTAAGTTGACACTTTTTCATTAATGGCCCAAAAAAAAACGTATTTCAGTCATTAACACAAAATAGATGTTTCTGAGGGAGCGCTGTAGCAGGCAGATTATTACAACCCCTCCATATGCATTTTGTGTTTTTGCTGTGATTAGTTATGAACAGCTAATAAACACTGCAGCCAACTAAACATTACTCTGTTCTATTGTGTCCATAAAAGGCAGCCGAAGTTTGAACGTCCTCTGTTTTGTTTTATTTCCAGCTGACCTTGGGAAACTGAAAGGGGGGGAAGTGAAATTGGGTGACGCAAGGGCACAACCAGTCACATAATGGCAGTCCCAAGTGACCTCTCGCTTTTCAACTCCACCTCCTCCCCCTATTCAATGACAGAGAATACCTCTCTAGCCCCCTCTGCTCTCCACTGCCCAGACTGGCCTCCTGTGCCCATGACCACAGTCATCCCCGCCATCTACAGCATTATCTGCGTGCTGGGAACCGTAGCCAACACCCTGGCAGTGTGGGTGTTGGCCCATGCAAGTGCCTCGAGGAGAACTGTGGCTAACACTTTCATGCTGAACCTGTGCGTGTCCGACCTGCTGTTCCTGCTGTCCCTCCCGCTGTGGGCCGTCTACTACTCCCAGGGCTACAGCTGGCCCTTTGGCCGGGTGGCCTGTAAAGTCTGCGGAGTGCTCCACAACCTCAACCTCTACGCGTCTATCTTCTTCATCACGTGCATGAGCATGGACCGATACCTGGCCATCGTGCGTCCGCTCCGCTCCCAGAGCGCACGATACCCCAAGCGCGCCCGGCTCACGTGCATCCTGGTGTGGGTGCTGGCATGCGCTTGCTCGGCCCCCACCGTTTATCTGAGGGACACTTACTACCTGGAGGAGCTTGGCGTGAAAGCCTGTGCGATTTTATATCCCGATCATACCTGGTACCTGACCCTGGTCTGGATGAAGATTGCTCTGGCCTTCCTGCTGCCACTGTTTGTCACCTCTTGTTGTTACTCTGCTATCGGTAGACACTTGCTGGCTGATACAGGGTTGGTAAGAATGCAGACTTCATCACACCCCCCCAGCATGCCCTCTTTTAAATCACTGGAGTCAAAGGAGAGCTGCAGTAAACCAGAGAGACCTCCGACCCCCTGCGTGTGCCCCGGCTCCAGCGGGGGCAGGCCCCTGGAGGGCAGAGGGCTTGAGCGGGTGTTGTGGACAGTAGCTGCTGTGGTCCTGGCCTTCTTCATCTGCTGGTTCCCCTTCCACTGCGTGACCTTCTTGGGAGTGCTGAAGAGCGGCGGCTGGGTGGACAGCTGCGGGGTAACCTGGACCATCGACACCCTCACACCGCTGACCCTCTGCTTGGGATTCTCAAACTCGGCCATCAACCCGGTGCTCTACTGCTTCATCGGCAACCATTTTCGGGGCCGTCTCGGGGGACTCTGCAAGGGCCTGTGGGCTTGCCTGAAGGCCCACGGGGAAGATAGCAGCCAGAAGAGGGGCTCCTTCAGCACCAGGCTGAGCTCCTTCTCTCGAAAACTTAGTGACCTGAAAGACCTGGCGATTGTAGAGCCCTCCGGTCCTAACTAACCAGGCCACCTGGAGGGCAGGCTGTCCCCTTCCCTCCACTGGCTTCACACTCCAGAGTGACGCCAACGTCATGTGACTGCTGAACTCCATACTAAAGCATGGCTGCGTGAGATGGTGCTGTAACTATGATCAAATTCCAGCAGAGCTTAACGCTTGCTCTACAAAGACAGAAATAAAGTTATTACAAAATATAAAGCTGAGAGGTTTAGAGTTTTGAGGCTGGTAGCCAAACGGCGTAAGAAACTGAAGTTGAACATTTCATGTCTTTAATGCTGCTGTATTCAGCCAATACGTTGAAAAAACCTCACTGTACACAACCCGCTCAGCACCAAACAGACACACAGACACAGCTAGCGACTGGCTGGTGAACATAGTGGAGCATTTAAAAAAAAAATGAAAGAATCAAGTGTAATGTAGGTTTAAAGTTGCAGGAAAGGAAAGCTGTAGGGAGTAAGTTACAGCTGCTCTGCTAAGCTAGGCTAATGATGTTGTAGCAGGACTAGTGCAGCTGCTGTTACTTTTTCTTTCGTTGTAATTCTGCCTCATTTATATGGCATGATAAACGTCATCACAAAGATGATAGATGTTTTACACGAGTATGAAAGAGTTAATTTAGCCTTTCATAAGGCTAGCTGTGGCTAATCTCAACAGCTAGCTTTAATTCAAGCTCAGTTTTGTAGTTTTGCAAACTACGATGTTTTCTCAGAAATTATACACTTCTGTGGCATTCCAATATTTAATATGGTATCTCCATTTTGACTGAATGTTGTATTACTGTATTTTGGCTTTGTAGGCCAAAACATTATGAAATAGAAATGTATAAGGATAATTATTAACAACATGTCATAACAATGCTACATTTACTGTTCCTTTTTGGGACCAATGCATTATATGTGTAATCATGAAACTTGTAACATTTTAATTGTATTATTCTGTAAAGACAGTTTAGGAAAATGGAAATGAATGTATTTCTTTGACTATAAATAAGAAATAAAGTGAACTATACTTCCTTATTAAAAATGCCACATCGTTGTTTGATTTCTGTTCTTTTACTAAAATGGGAGATTGTCGGATTAATTTCAGTCCAACGCCACACAGACAGCGATTTGGTGAAACTGATTCCATCAATGATTTGTTTACTTTCCTTTTCACAATCTCACCCTCCAACAGCTGTGACTCCAGAGCTGCCCCCCCCCCCCCCCCCCAGCCGGGAATGAGAGTGCTGGGATTACAGTCTGCCGGGCAGATGGACAGTCAGTCTTCCCTCTTTTCCCAGAATGCCTCACATGGATTCCGTAACATATCAAGGCCAGATATCATAATCTCATACTAATGTCCATATGATGCATTCCAGTCTGGCCGGTTGAGTTGGTTTCGAGGGAGCAGCCGGCTAATCAATGATTTATCTCTGTCCGCTATTTGTGTCCAGTATAGATCCACTGCATTCTGCGTTGACCCCGGCCTGCCCTGTGAGTCCAGAGCCAAGGGAGTATGGTTTCATTTTGTTTTGCACTGAAGACTGTGGGACTATTATACGCTAGAATGTTGAGTGGTAAATGCTCGAAATGTTTTCGTTCAAGTCTAAACGGTGACGTGTTCTTGCATTTTTCTATTCTAAACTTATAACTAAAATAGCCTGAATGTTTTTACACATTAATAAGCCACCAAAAAAAGGAAGACAAGGCATCCAGTCTGTACTGCAGTCTACTTGCAGCACATCATTCCTCAATAATCTTGCAACGTTTCCACTGGATGGCGCTAAACTGCTGTGAAAGAAATGAATGAGCTGCCGCTGGCTGCTTACCCAGACAGAGCCCCCAAGTCCCACCACTCATGATCTTTCTGAGCCAAGGGAAAGATGGCTCCGACACAGACTGATGACTCATGTAGGATACTGTTCTGAATGTATAAAAACACAAATCTTCCAACAAAGGCTGCGTTTAAAGAGCGCTACCAGCTCATAGGATGCACTGAATGTTACAAATACAGTTCGTCTTTCTGACGGATCCTTGGCAGGAGCATCTGGTGGACTGAGGGACTCCATGTAGTCGAGAACACGGTGTGAATGAAGAGCATCACAGCCAAGAATAATATACATCTCAACACGGCTGATGAGCTTATAACACCAGACGCCGTGCTATCATCTTGAGAACGGCTGCAAATATTCAATATTTTAATCACCATCTTTAATTTGACACAACAGAACTTTTTTTTCCCACTGACAGCACAGATTGCAGGATGAGTTTGTCGCAGCTCCACAGTATGTTGCTGCGCACGGCTTCGTTAGCTGATGCCTCGCTGTTGTACAGAGCAGGTGTGAGTGTCCTTGACACACGTTTTAAAGAAGACGCATCAGTGACATGTGACTGAGAACATGTGTTGTAACAGTGTGGATGCGTGACATAAGCTGAGAAGTATATGGGGAACTCATTTAAACAGCAGGTTTAAACTTGTTGTTCGGCTGACGTAAAACATCGAGCTCTGACATGATTTCAATTTAACATGTCGACATTTAACAATATTGAGTAGCTAGGCCCCGGAGTTAATCTTTTTCTTCTTCTGTATTTTATTACAAGTCTAAATTCGAGAAATAAGAAGAACTACTGATCATTTCTTTTTATACATTTGGTCAGTTGTTATAAGGAACTAAATACATTCACTCAAGCGTTGTACACTGTTAGCCCGAACTAGTTGACTTTACTAGAAAACCGTGTGGAAACCCGTTGCCTCAAACCATTTAAGTTTTTACAAATGGAGGAACTAAAGAGATCAAGTTGTGTTAACATAGAACCTTAATGAATGCAGTAGACAAATTTAAGTCCACATTAGTAATCTTTACTAAAAATCATTAGTTCACTTGAATTATTTCTTTTCTTTAGTGTAAGTTTATTGAAATAACTATTTTAAGTTCAACATACATAAGCATATATAAACAAATCACTAATATAACATTATTTATTGCTACTTAAGACCATTAGTTTATTTAAGTAATGTCTTTACTTTTAATTAAATTAATTATACTATTTGATTTTGAGATTTAATGTATTGTTTCAAGAAAATTGTACAGAAGGAAAGAAATTAAACAATACATTTTAATGTTCCAATGTGTTTTATTTTTTCAAAACATCGCATTGTAACTGTTAAAACTGAAAGAAATTCCAACTTGTCGAGAGAAGAAATGCAGCATTACACAGTAACTGTGCGTTGTGAATGACTATTCACATGCCGACATTACAACTTGACTGGATAAGGACAGAGGAACTGGGTTAAACATATCGAAACAACTGAACACCAATATGCAGTCCTGAGCATACACTGTAAAACACAAGTGGTGGAACATTCCTACTCCTCATTCAACAAACTTATAACATAATTCAAAATATGTATCTTAGTAGTGAAACATTTCCTGAGAGTCTTTGGTGACAAAGGGGGATTAAAACCATGTGAGGCTTGGTTTGGAGGGGCTAGCAGACCCCACAGTTGAGGTGTCTCTGCATATAAGACCTAAACAGATAGCAAACTCTGCAATGAATAGTATCAAAAACAGGATTTTAAAACATTGCATGTATCACATGTATGACACATACATGTTTAGGCTTGTTCAGTAGGGACGCTGACTGTGGCACGCCTCCTGGAGCTTCCACTGTCTGCTGCCAGGTTGAACCACCTCATTGCTGTTTCACACATCATCTGTGGCGGCACGTGAGACATGATTCTTTTGACGGCATCTGTAATCACAAGCAGATCATACAAAATCCCATGAACCCTCAGTGCAACATATAGCAGACATGCAGTCTAAAAGCTAGTGGCTGTCTGGCATGTAAAGGTTTGCTATGCTATATTCAGAGCTAATATATCATATAACTATTATGTAAAGATATAGTCGAGTAATCCCGCAGCTCCGTCAAAGCCAGGATAGGTTTCGCGGTCGGACGCAGGACACGGCAGTAATGCTTAATCGAGTGAAATTCAAACGGGCCCCTCCCCCCCCCTTACAGAAACGTAACCTACCATGTTATCTCCGCTAAACATGATCATTGCACTCAATATTTGATTGATTAGTGCAAACTACTAAATAGATTTTGTAATGACACAGTTGTTTTACAAAACACGCAAGTATAAGTAATGACTACTCAAAAGTTTAATTTGAAATAAATTCGTGTTTACAGTGTCATTTTGAGGTACTTCTTCTACTCCACGACATCTCAGAGGTAAATTTTGTATTCTACTACATCTATGTGACAGCTGGGGTACAGTGACCAGTTACTTTTCAGATTAAGATTGTACATAAAACATGTTATTCATTTGTAAAATACAATGCATTGTTAAAAATGAGACCACTGGTTCTTCAGCTTTTTGACCTCTTACAATAAAGCGATGCCTTTTCATGTTTTAGATGTTCCATTTGAATAACAGTTTGAGGACCAAAGTGGTCAACTTATCCAATATTTTACCAACAAAAAAACAAGATTAGAAAAAAAGGATATAAAAAAATCAGTCAATATATCACATATTACTCACATGGGCCATTCTGCTGGATGAATACTTTCCTTACATTAAGTACATTTAGCTTCTGTACTTTTACTTGTAATTAGGATGTTGAATGCAGGACTTATACGTGTAATGGCGTATTTTTACATGTGTTAGTGCTATAGTTACTTACTATAGATAAAGGATCTGAGTAGTTGTTCCTCTTCAGTTTTGTGAAGTAAAGCATACATCACTATTCAGGGAACTGAGGAGGAAACAGAAAACAGCAAACTGATTTTAAAAGAAAACAAAGCGAGGCCTCTAGGTGAATTAGCTGGAAACAGTAGAAGTCACTGCATAAGCACAATTTACGTTTTCCTATGTGAAAAGATTGATATTGCTTTTTTTTTTAAAAATTCCTCTCTTGTGCTCTCTATTGTTGTGGAAATATTCAGTTACAATCTTTGAAGTTATTTCCTGTCGAAAAAATACAACCATTTCCTGAGAGATACACAAACCCACATTTTACGTGTGTGCTGGTGTGCACATGCGTGTGTGTGTGTGTGTGTGTGTCTTACAGTGGAAGAGGAAGGCTGAGCAACAAGACATAAAGGTTAGCGAGGTTAGAGAGAGCTGCTATCAGTCTGGGTAAGTAAAGCGGAAAATCAGAACGCTGGCTTGCCAAAGCTCAGTCTCCCAAACGGACATTTGAACAGCAAGAACCAAATATCAAATGAGAAGCTGGACAGCTGCCTTACCTGTGTGCCCAGTCTAGAGGATTCACAGTGAAGACCAAAGGGCTCGCCTGCAGTGAAAAATTGAAGGCGCATGAGAAAGAGAGAGAGGGGAGAGGAGGCACTTGGGAGCAGAACAAAAAGTAGAAGTGGAGAGGAGCCGCGATGGAGAACCTGCCTGTCTACCACGGACCCATTGGCAAGGAGGAGGGGGAGAGGCGGCTGGCCCAGGACGGGCGGGACGGGTGCTACCTAGTCCGCAACAGTGACTCCGTGCCGGACGTCTACTGCCTGTGTGTGCTGTGAGTACAAAAAACAGATTGTGAAGTATCTCCGCTTCTTCACCGAGACCTCAGTAATCACATCGACACACAATCCTATTTCCTGCTATTATAGAGATTATTGATCTCCTCACATCTGAGACAATAAAAGCACAAAAAGGCATAAACTGAAGTATCAACTGAAACCCCCAAAAATATGGTGGCCTTTTATTAAGTGTGACATGTGAGTCTCGAAGGAGCAATGATGATGATAATAATGACTGCTGGGGGGCAAATATGCATTTCATTAAAACTGAAAGATGAGCCAAGGGCCAAACGCTGTTTCTGTTGTGTTTGCGTGTGCAGGTACAGCGGCTTCGTCTACACATACAGACTCCACAAGGACGACACGGGCTCGTGGGCTGCTGAAGTGAGACATTTTTTATCATTGCATTTGTCTTGCTCTCATTCTTTGCAGACTTCTTTGCGCGCCCTAAAAACTTCACAGGAGCAGCAAAACAGCTGCACATCCACCTCACTTTGGCTCGTGTTGATTAGTTCTAGAGGTTGTTTTGGTGACAGCCTAATTTTGCAAGCTGTGAATATGAGGCAAACATTCTTCTTCTTCTTCTTCTTCTTCTTCTTCTCCTCCAAGAACGACAGCACTGAGAAATGGGTTCTTTTCCTTTCGCAATAACACGCTGTGATATATACCCCCCTCCCCCCCCCCAACACCACCAAATTTAAGAGTCCACAGCATCAGCATATACTCCAGAGATGGGAAACGTAGAATTGCATTTGACAGCATTTCTGATGGGATATGTAATGGAGCACTGAGGGTTGGCAAACACACGGAGACGTGAACGCATGGAGACATCTCAAGTCTGTGTCTCTCGCTGACAACTAAAGCTTGATGCTGTTGTAACTACATTTGGCCCTCGCTCCTTTTTTTTTACCGACAGCGTCAAGTCAACAGACAAATCTCACTACAAGCTAGATACCGGTTTACATTACTCATGTGCAATATCAATCACTTTAATGAAATATTCCGGGGAACAGAGGTAACACTTGTGGCCGGAGATGGAAACATCCAAAGGGCTTTTTCTTTCACTATTACAGAATGATTGATTGCACAGGATAAAAACAAACAATGTGGGTTTTTTTATGTCCTTACTTAACTAAATTATAACACAAATACTAATAATGCTTCATAGTTTGTTGATGTTAAACTGACAGCTGTAGGCACAATTTATGAGGGTTATTGCAGTGAATGATCTGAGAGATCCTTGATGAAGTTTCACTAAAGCTAAATGAAGAAAGTCACACTGAGTTGCTGTTGCACTGGAAGATGAATTCCAAACAACTTATTTTGTTTTTATATCATTTCTAAAAATGATCTTTGTGTTTATTTCAGTTTTCTTCAGTCTCAAGTAAAAGCTGAGCCAGCTGAGATACTGTTGGGACACTATAAGCATCTTGAATGTCACACGCACATCTGAAAACAAACGCTTTTTGTTGTCCAACGAAACATAAAAAAGAGCCCAGGGGAGTGAATACTTTCAGAGACTGAATCCTAATTTAGCTTTTAAACCCCTCGAGTACAGATTTTATCCTTCTACCGTAGTTTTTTAGAGCAATTACAGATTCAATTTCGTGTGCATCACCTTATTTATTGATACATTTTATTGCCTTAAATGCGAGCTCAGTGTGGATCAGTGGTCCAGATATATGAAAATATAATTGCCGTGATTCCCTGCACACAAATGTCCTCAAGTTCCTGCCTCAGCTTTCAGCGTATCTGATGTCTTTTATAAGGTGAATCTGTGAGAGCTCATTTCAAGCCGGTCCCCGTCCCGTCCTCTTCCCCCCCCCCCCCCCCCCATGGGGATTTAATGTGGAGATGAAGATGGAGAAGCTGAATTCTCCTCTTGTGTTTCAGACCACTCCTGGTGTGCAGAAACGATATTTCCGGCAAATCAGGAACTTGATAGCAGCTTTCCAGAAGCCGGGACAAGGAATTGCCATGCCTCTGCTCTACCCTGTCACAGCTCAGACACGGGCACAAGCACACACGCAAGCAGAGGCGCCTGGTAATAGCCTGCCGCCAACACACAGAAGCCAAAACGCCTACCTACATCAGCCGCTGCCTCAAGCTGCTAAGGGACACAAAAACAGGAACAAGGAGGTGCGGCAAGCTTTTGGTTAGGGGTAAACCCTGAGCTCACCATTGACCTGATTATAAACAAGAAAACTCTTTGCATGATGTGCCGACTGTTGCATTTTCCAGGCTGTGCATGAAGTAATTGTCTTTTTTTTTTCCTTCTTCTTCCAATTAATCAGCTCCTGTTAGTTAAATTTAGTCATTTAGGCTCTAGCTGTGACTCAGATCTCAGCTTCCTTCCAGCATCTCTCTTCTTTCCCCCCCAATGCATATGCGGCACAGAAAGAGCCTCATAGCTTTCAGGGGTGTGATGTGAAATATTCAAGTGCTGAAGCATTAATATCCATCACTGCATATGTAAGCTGACAACAAATACTGTGCTGTTTTCTTAATGCAATTCAGTTGTGTGAATGGCAAAGAAAATAAATGATATTGGTTTGAAATAAACTCTTTTAAATTAGGTCATGCATACACAGCCCGACACACACACACACACACCAGAGCCTCCGTCTGACACATAATGTGGAACAAAAATTCAATTTGACATATTGAAGTACTGATTTCCGAGGGGGGGGGGATCTGTCATTCATCTGATTGACATTACTGGCTCCTCATGAAAAAAATTAGAGAGCGAGAGGGAGAGGGAGAGCATCCATTCAGCCCAGACCATTCTTCAGCGGTCTCCTAGCAACCAGACCCTCCATCTTTTCACCGGCGAGATGAGGTTGGACAGTATCTAACGGAGCATATGGTTTAGAAGGGAAGGTGCATCGCGGCCGATCAGCAAAGTGCTAGTCAGGAACGTATATATCACCTGCTCGCAGTCAGAACATATGCATTGTGAGGCTTTGTCATCCGCAGCCCAGGAGAGAAACACAAACAATTAATGGTGGGCAGATGGCGGAGTGACTGTGGGAGGGTGGCGAGTGGGGGATAGGCAGACGGACGGGGAGGTGGATTAGTGGTAGCTAGATTAAAAAAAAAGAGAGAAAAGAAAAACAAACAAACTTCTCTGCTTTCTTTTTAAACTTTTTTTTTTTTCGTTGGGGGGAGGCTTGGAAGTAGTTCACATGTAGTCTGATTGGCATTTCCTAATGAGAGGAGACAAGCTGTAGAGAACAGCACAGCCAACTCCAGGTCCTGCCCCTTCTGCACTCACCACCCACTCACTAAGCCTCAGCTGTCACATTTCTTTTTCCCTTCCTGTGTTTTTTCTTGTTCTTCCCTCTCTCTCTCTCTCTCTCTCTCTCGCTCTCTTCTTCTTCTTCTTCTTCTTCTCCTCTTCTGACAGACGCAGGTTTCTCATGCATATCTCGGTTTGAGCCATAATGATGGGTGATAACGACAGCACAGATTTGAAAGTTACAAACTCCCAGAAACAAGAACAAAGTGTGTGGAGGGAAGGCGCAGAGACGGAGAACACGCCAGAGAGAGAGAGAGAGAGAGAGAGAGAGAGAGAGAGAAATAAGCAACAATACCGATGAAATCCCCACGAGCAATCTGGTAATTCACACATAATAACTTTAATCAGCATTGTAACCCAATAAAGTCAGATTTTTCAGCGAGAATATTTACTATAGCCATGTATAATTCTTTGCAAAAATGTAACTGTTTTTCTATTGATTAACAATACTGACACTTACTTATGAACAACAGAATTTCCAGTTGAGCACTTTTTTCAGTGTGAAAGCACTGGCTATGTACATTCTTGATTTCAGTATACACACTCATACAAACTACTGTTGGAGCACACCAGAGGCAGAATACCGGGAGAGGTTTCCTTCTCTAAAGGGGAGTGCCAGAGTTGACAAGGCCTCTCTTACACAATATGTAAACGATAGTATATCTGAGGTAAACCATGGAGGAACTCAAATGGCAACCGGAGAGCTCTTGATTTTGAGTCATGAAGAGGATTAGTCACTGGCAATCCTAAAGTCTTCGTCTCTACAGCTCAGTGAATCCAAAATGAAGAACAGTGTTGAAACAGCAAAGGACAGACGGTCAAGTCCATCAGTTCGACGGAAAGTCAGTCAGTCGGTCGGTCGGTCGGTCCCAGGCCAGTCAGGATACAAAAAGCAAAGCCACAGCCAAACCACACTGCTTGTGCCACTGTTAGAAATTGGAGAACTGGACGATAATAATAAAATACCATCATTTTGTCACAATTAAAGGCATTTGGAAATCATTTTTTCCCCCAATCTCTCTTCTTGTTCTTCTTTGTCGTCGTCTTCTTCTTCTTTTTTTTTTTTGTTGATACAGTATAGAAACAGTAGAACAAATCAGAGTAGAGTAGAAACAGGCAGTCTTTGGTGGGGCGGGGGGCTGCTCACGTGTCTCTGTTACCTGCCCCCCACCTCGCTTAGTGTCATAAAGTGGATGTTGGAGGGGCAGTCGGACAGCTCCGGCTGCTGCTCTATAGGCAGGGAGTAGTAGCCGTCGTAACCCTGAACCAGTCCTCCGGACAGCAGCTGCTGCTTCTCCGCCTCGCTCCACGCCCTGCTCCCCACGTCCCCTAAATCCACCCTCTTCCTCTCCTTCTCCCACGCGCCCTCCACCGCTCTCTTCCTCGCCTCCTCCCTCACCCGCTCCCTCTCCTCCTCCTCGCTCCCGCCGTAGCGCACGCACAGGCACAGCAGCCCCTGCTGAAGGGTGATATCGGCGAATCGTCGCGTCCTGCCGTTCACTGTGGCGCTCATCTGAGACACGCTCACGTTCACCCCGCTCTCCAGGACGCGGCCCCCGACACCCAACCCCAGGGCGAGGTCCTCCTCGATGGGCCGGGACTGGAGGAAGTGGTGGGTGTCGCAGCCGTGCACGGTGAAGCTCAACCCGCTCAGGTGAACGGCGCCATTCAAGATGGCCGCCACGCGGCGGCTGTCCTCGCTGGCTACGCCGATGACTTCGGCGCTGACGCGGCCGTGGGAGACGGCGAACCGGATGCTGGGGCCGAGAAGAGACGGCCGGGAGCCGAAGGGGGGAGGCCGTGTCGGTCTGTGGCGAGTTGAGCCAACAGGCTCCGAGACCAGAGGTAGCCTCTCCAGGGAGATGAAACTCCTCAGCTGTCTGCGCAGCTCACACTGGATCCCCAAAACCACCTGGGAAAAGAACCATATACAATATACAACAATATATTACAGAGGTTTGAATGCACTTAAAATGTCATCCGTGATGGTAGATTCTTCCACAACAGACATTTTGAAGTATAACAGATAAAGCTAAATTAATGATGCCTCTGTTCCATTTGTGTGTTTCAATAGCTTGCTGGACGCATGCACAATGGGTCTGTTTCACGGAAGACGTTTGACTTGCAGCACAGCTGTGAATAATAGAATGAATGAAAGACTGAATTCCTTTCAGCGGTTTCAGTTTCAAGGTCCTGGTATTGTGCTTGCCGTCACACTGTCATAGCATAGACCCTCGAACAGAGCCATAATTAATGTTATTTGTAACAACTGTGCTTTTCTTATTATAAAAAGTCAAAATGTCGGTTGTGAAAGAAGCAAACCTGAGTGGAATGTAGCCATAATTAAGATTATTACTTTCCTAGTCTCACACAGCCAGATCTATCTACCGTACACAGCTAAAGAAACCCCAAATTCCTCCGAACATTATCATTTTGCTTTTTGGGGGAAGAAAATGATTTGGCTTGTTTGTATTTTTTTGAACCAATCACAGTCGTCTTTAGTGGAGCCGAGCACAGCATGTGGCGACGGTGCCCTTGCAAAAGAGACAGCAGTGCAGATAGTAGAAGAATGTCACGAGAAATATGCAGCCCACGGCAGGCTTACACCCGCAGTGTACACCCACTGAGTCAGACTATTACTTTACTTACATCTAGGACCGGGCATCAGTACTCAATACCATTAATGTATTGTCCTAAACTACCAAGTAGTATTAAAACGTCGTCAAACGATACCTGCAATGATGAAATAATGACTTACTCATCTTAAAATGATGACTGCGTATCTCAAAAGTCAATATTTTGTAAATGTTTCTCACTAAGTCATTATGATGCTTTACAGGATCCTTTTTTTTCCATCACAGGGCTAAGATTTCATCTTATTTTTCTCTTCTACTGGTGGGAATGGGCTTCCATAGTAATCTGTGCAGCCGTACTGTGATGAAATTATAATACGGTGTTAAATTAAGTAAATTAACAAAATGAATAAAGCCAAGTGAATTAGTTAAGAGATGATAAAATAACAGAATTTGATTAATTAAGTTATTGTTTTTCATATCTGTCATTTTGTCCCATGCAATGCATAACGGATGGATTGATATAAATTCATTGAACATTCATTTATTTCACATGTGAGTTTACCTAAATTACTCATGTCGACTAACAGCCATTTTCATAATGGCTTAATCCGATAAGAGTGTTTTCATTTAATTGACCAACAGTCTAATCCTTTAAAGATATTCAATCTACAATGATATGAAATAGATAGAAGCAACACATCTTTACATTTAAGAAGCTGGAAGGTAATGTTTGACTTAAGTCACTTCAATGACAATGGATTAATTATAATTTTCTATTGACTCATTTGTTGGTCGACTTGTTCATTTCAGCATTCATACTGTTGACTCCAGCCATAATGCTATAGGAAGAAGCCAAATGAGTCATCAAACATATTAAAATGAAAGAAATAAAGGGGCTAAAATTACCAAAACATTTGAAATGTATTTGGCATAGACCAAGGGATAACCATTAACTATTATTAGAGGAACACACAGTTAGAGTAATTAGAAAGAGCCTTGCAGGTGACTAAGGTTTGTCGTGGTGGAAGGCTCACCTTGCTGGAGTCCCAGTCTTGTGTCTTGGTCTGGGTCTTCATCAGTTCATATGTTTGCTCCATTCGGCCCACTTCAGGCTTCGGGAAGCCTGGGACGACATTATGAAGCTGGAAACCAAATAGCTGCAACCAGCTACCAATGTCTGGAGACACAAACACACACACCCACACACACACACAGAGTGACGCACAGAGAAAGAGAGAAAGTTAGAACATAATGTGTATACGGTGAAGCAAACAAAAAGTCATAAGGCCAGGGAAACAACACGTACAGGAAACACACAATGTACGAGCATAATAGTGGGCAGAGACGGTTCGGCTGGTGTTTCCCTGACAAACAAATTCTGTAATAAACAATCCTGCGGCACGGAAACGTGACAGGCCAAATGAATGTTCCATTAACCAGAAGGACATACGCCCCCACCGACATCCTGTATTCATTCTCCTGCTCTCCTATTCCATCTCTTTCCCTCGCCTCGCTTTCTGTTTGGTCTGTCGGGGAAACAGTATGTTCTTGACAGATAGAAGGAACAAAACATAACAGCCTGTGTTAAAAAAACAAGTTGATCAGAGGCATGGCTGTCCTTTCTGTCACATCATTTCTTTCTGCCATGCAGCTCACCTGTGGTTAGCTGTGTGCCCCGTTCACTCACTCTTTATGGCAGATGTTTCCCGTGTGGGTGTGTGCGCGTGTGTGTGTGTGGGAGTAGTTTCTGATGAGAGAACTACCTGCCTGTATGTGTGTGAGAGCTGTACCGTGGCAGCTCGTGTGAGCGGCTGCATGTGTGAGGCTCACCTGTAGTAAACTCCGTCACCTCCTCCACTTTGCCAACTGGGCAGTTATTCTTGAAGGCGTACACGTTGAACGGCTTCGGCTCCTTGCTCAGCTCCCCCCACAGTTCGTGATTGGGCGAAGTCCATCGACCGGCTAGCGTGTCGTAATCCCGCCTGCCCAAATGGACAAGACGCGAGAGAGGATCGTACAAGCCTCCGTGGAAGCCGATGACAAGCTGGAAGTCAGGGTTGGTGTCCTGGTAGACCTCTCCGTAAGGGGTGTAGAGGATCTCTTTGACCAGGCGCCCCTTGCTTGAGAAAACCGCCCTCGGAGTCCCCACGCTGTCGCAGGCGACGTAGTACTCCTCCCCGCTGCTCAGCTCCATGGCAATGAGGAGGCCCTGCAGGTCGTAGTACAGCGACGTGATCAGATTGCTGCTGTGGTTGTACAAATGGCTGACCCTGGTGGGGTGCGACAGATCGGCATAAAAGAACTGCAGCTGCTCGCCCTGGCTGCTTTTGGTGGCCACGCGGCGGCCCAGCCCGTCGTAGCGATACCACACGGTGCGGTCGGTCGCTCGGTTGAAGACGCGGGTCAGCAGGCCGTTGGAGTTGTAGTCAAACAGGTCATTGGCTCGCTGGCGGAGGAAGCCGTCTTCATCCACGCTGTACTGTAACTCGCCGAGGTGTGTGATGCGGTCTCTCTGGTCGTAACGCAGCGGCGTCAGTCTGGAATGAAACCAAACAAGTTAATACATTAATACTGCTGAGAACTTATAAAACACGTCTAAAGTTAATTAACAAGAGTCTACAGCCATGCTAGCATCTCTGTTAGGCTGCACTATAGCGGTACTTCAAGCAAGATGCTAATGTCGACATGCTAACATGCTCGCAGTGACAATGCTAACACGCGGAATTTTTAGCAGGTATGATGTTCACCAAGTTCAACATCTTAGTTTAGCCTGTTAGCATGCTAATATTTGCTAATTAGCACTAAACATCAAATTGAGCTGAGCTTGATTGGAATGTCGTTTGATCATTACAGTCAGCCTGGGGAACGTGAATGTCTGTAAAATATGTCATGGCAATCCAGCAAACAGTTGTTGAGATAATTCAGCCTGGACAAAAGTTGACCAACTGACATTGCCAACTCGAAAGCCAAGTTGCAAGCAAGGCTTAAAAATAGGATAATAACGCGTGCAATACACTTGTTCTGACATTGTAACAACACATTCTTTGCTGTAAAATGTATCGCTATCGGTACTGACTACTTACCGAGCACTGGTCCCGTGGCTGAGCAGGTTAATGTTCCCGTTGAGGTCGTAGCTGTAGCGCCACTGGGGCCGCTCATTAACAGAGGCACTTTGCAGCTGGCTGTCTGCATCGTACTCGTAAGTGTAGCGTGTCACGTTGTTGTCCACGCCCACCCTGATATCACAGGTGGTCGTGCGCCCCGCCGAGTCATACTGGATGGTCATCCAGTAGGCGATGGATTTAAGGATCTCATACTGGACCTCGACCACCTGGCCGTAGGAGTTGAAAACCTTGGTGTGCTTCATCAGATGGGTGGTGATCACCTAGGCAAGCGTGGATGAGATGGGTTTGATTCGCGATTGATGAGAGCCCATAATGAACCAAAACAGTGAGTTTATGGGCAATAAAATCAAAACAAAGAGCCGACAGATGCTTAATCGCTTCGTATTGCATTTCATCTTTGTTAATGTCATAACATCAAAGTCACAATTTGAAGCTAGACTACTACAGATGTCCTAAATAATGTGTGTGGTGTTTTAGTTGAGAGTATTCTGCCCACCTGGTTGAGGTCATAAAAGATGACGCTGAACTTGCCAAACTGCTCGACACGTCCCGACACGTCCACGTATCGGTACAGATCAATGGGAAGAGGGGTCTCGTTGATGACTGCCTGCATGCTGGTCACTCTGAAGTTGTTGTAGCTGTAGTCAAACCTGGCGTTGACCAAGCCTTCTTCGCTAAAGCGGAAGATTTGCCGACTCGTCAGGGGACCTACGCAGAGGAGCCAGAGCGATTCCGTGTGAGAAATTCACACATTAGGCAATGACACACATTAGCATGTGCATCTACTATACACACATACACACACACACACGGCCCTCACAGTTGGCCACCACGATACCCGTAACAAAGCCTTCCTAATTAATTCAAATCAAGGACTAATTCAACGTCATTAACACAGACACACGCAGTGCAATCCATTCCAACCTAACTATCCCACACTTCTATGGCATTTCCAGTGGTGACCTTTAATATGGAGAGATAATGAAATCTAAAGACAATAGCCATGATGGACCAATGTGCTCCTTAATGTCAGAACATCAACTTTAACAACACCATTCATCACCTCTGCTGCTGCTGGCTTCTACAGCTCATCCTCCATTTGGAGAAAGGCCTGCTAATGAAACAGCATTATGGTGCTATTTGAGATGACTCTGATTGCAGTTAAAATGACTAAGTGTCTAGCTTTGGAGACTGCAGAGAGCTGGAACATCCTCTATTTTTATTTTCTGTGGAATGTTGATTCTAAAGCTGCGCTAATGGGGGAACGGCAGAAGCAGAAGAGAGTGAGGTGGAGGTTTTTCTGCAGCCCTAGGGAACTCGCAGTCTGTTCGTCTTGCTTCTCTAGCTGTAACTTCCCCAAGCTGTCATCTTTTCCTTCTCCTTTTCTTCCTCGCCTACTTCTCTATATCTCTGTCTCTACTTCTATTGGTCCCTACTTTTCCTTGTCTCCTCTCAAGGGACAATTACCACTATCTCTCCTCTCTCCAAGGCTCCGTTTGTTCTGCTGAAATGAGATCAGTTAAAGGAAGGTGAGAGTCTATTCACAGTGAGGGCAAAGCGATAAACACATACACACACACACACACACACACACACACACACACTCACACACTCACACACTCATACACTCACACACACAGCTGTGCCGCGCAGATTAGTGACACCTGATCATGGTGAGCCAATCACAAAGCTGTGTGAAGTGAACCAGCAGCAGAGATGAGAGCGCTCTCAACGACCCTGGAAAGACTCTGTAACTTGAGGGAATTGTTGAACCGTATTAACAATGAAGGCGTCCGAACATCGCTGCTGCCACAGCTAAAGGGGCCAATTGATGGTAATGGCATTACCGGGTAGTACTTCAATTTATGAAGCTCAATGTCTTTCTAACTAATTCTTCCGAATCTGAAGTGAAACAATTGTCATGTTATAATTGATGGCCTCGGGTAGGATTTCATGATTTCCTGTCCCACGCAGACGTGAAAACATGAACAAATGTTCACATGCAGGCTGGCAGCATAGTTATCCCACCACATTAAATTCATACACTAACTTTGATCAGGCAGCCCGGTTTGCGGAGGTGGGTGGGGGTGGGGGGGTGGGGGTTGACAGCGCAGCTCAGAGCCCAGTGGGTGGTCTTGTATTGAAAGCTGCGGTAGACCACAGTCTCTTCCACTCAGAACATGCTCTGCCCTATTCACACTTCAAACTGTGGCTGTGTCAGCCTCAGATGAAATAGCAGCACGGCTGACTCAAAGCTCAAGCTGACTCAAATTACGGAGTTTTACAAACAAATCTGACTCAAGATGTGTGATCGTGCAGTCTAGTCACAGTGCAGATGCTGTGAGTTGTGCTCATGAGACGTTTTTATGCTCAGAGAGATCGCTTTAAATGATCCATTTAAAGATGACTCATTGCACATTGTAAATAGTGGAAATCTGTGGCCGTCCTGGCCGTAGGTGCCGTGATTGCACGTGTATGCGTACCTGTCTGTCTGTAGCGTATGGAGCTTATGAAGCCATTATGGGTGAGATGAATGGTCTTGACAGTGCCAGAGGCCTCGTCGTAAGTGAAGGTCACCAGGGTGGAGTCATAAACCACCTCGAAGAGCCGCGCTGCTGGAGTGTACCTTGACAAAAAAAAACGAAGAGAAAGAAAAACTGTAAAATGAAGAGAGGAATTCATAGAATAGATGATAATTCACATGTAGAATAAAGCTGTATTTCTTGTTAAAAAAAAAGTACGGTACAAAATTTGAATTTGAATATAAGTAAACATGCCATACGCCTCTTGAATAATACAAAGACCCCTAGAGCCACTGAGGGAGAAGTTGCATCATCCTTCAACATTTCATGGAAATCAAACCAGCTGCAGTGGCAGTTATGGCCTTTCAAATCTCCAAAATAGGGCCGTTTGTTATAGTGTCCCCATCGAGCCAACGAGTACTAAAAATGTTAAATGCCAAAACACTGCCCGAATCAGTCCCCCAACTTTCATCAACATCAGATCGGTGGTGTCTGACATAGTATGATGATAAAAAATGTGACCTTTAATCAGTCCCCCCCATTAGTCCAATCAAGAGCCATTTGCAAGGACAGCTGGGTGTGTGGCACGCGTTGTGTCAGCCAGACTTAGGGCTGCGTAATAGGGCTTTTACATTTCGGAAATTAGCCTTTAATTATACTACCTTCATCAAGCCAATCAGTGTTATGTTATCGTATAGCTGGCTGACGATAGTGCCAAGATGCATAATGCCTCAAAGTTTCATCAAAATCAAACCGGCGGAGTCGCCAATGTCACCCCCTTCCACACCGCGCTGCCTCCTCAACTGAACCGTTAAAACCAACAGCCGGTAATATTTCTGTGACCTGTGTCGTACCTGTAGATGACACTGCGTCCTGTTCCCAGGTACTGGGTCCTCAGCAGCCGCCCATCCAGCGTGTAGTCCTGCATGAAGGAGGACTGGCTGTCCGGAGGAGTGTATATGTTCCTGTAGTAGCCAATGGAGAGGAGCGACTGCAGGGCGTGTTTCACCATGCTGGGCATCGTCACGGCGAGCAGGCGGTCCGTTTGGTCGTACTCGAAGACGTAGCGCCGCTGGCTGTGCAGGAGCAGCATAATGGACTGCGAGAACACAGACGGACGCAAGGCTGAGTTATAATAGTGTAGTGTTTCTTTCTCTGTCTGGTACATTTCTTTTTTATTTCAATGTCATTCGGTGAAAACTTCAGAGACAACCTTGGTTTTAGCTTGAGGACCATTCGTTAATCAGCTAATCATTGAAGGCTTTTTAAAGACAGACAACTCTATTGCTATTTTGATTCAGACTAGTTTATTTTACTGCACTTTGTCTATTTAAGTCGATAGATTTCTTCTAAATTCGACCAAATGTTAGCATTAGATCATGCCTCATTTCCATATTTAACATTAAATCTCAGAAAACTTCCAGGACAAAATGTGTTTGTCTCAATGTACGTAATGAACTGGGGCTGTTTCATTGTGATATCTATTCGTTACAATGTTTACCCTATTCACCTGGAGTGTCTCACCTTGATTCTTAAACTAAACTGCAGTCCTGTCGATTTTTCAACAGTCTGAACTGTAGTAAAACAATATTATGTAAAAATACTTTTTTCTCTATTTAACTGTGAGGTATGATATTAATGCATTAATAATATATGCAGCTATTAACAATTTCAAGATGGTTCTGTAATATAAGCCCATTTGCACCGTCATTTTCTCGGACCAAAAGCTGACATGAAATATATTTCAGGCTGAATATCTTGTCATTAAATAGTTCAATTAATCTTAAGGACGGAAATTATAGCTTCAGGTAGCGCTCAGCTTTGTCGCACATTTAAAGGAACATACCTCGTTACATAAAACAATGACACGTGTCGTGCAAAATTTCTAACCATTTTTCAAAGCAGTGTTGTCTGTAAAAAAACCCTTTCAGGAAACCCCTGGTTTCTTTTCTCTGTGAAAATCAAGTTGCAGAGCCTTGGAACTTACTTGAGTTATGTAATTCATCACAATGAATATGTTGGCTGCTTATACGGCTCTCAAAGCTATGGGGCCGTTGCTTAGTCGTTCAGCTATAAGTGCAGACTGATTTTAAAAAGTCTGCATAAGTGAACTCAGACATAATCTTCACTCTGCAAATTGATTCTCAAAGTTAAATAAAATAAATGGAACCTAGAGGCTGCCTTAAAGGAAGGAAAGATACATTCAAAGATTGTTGGAAGTATAGCACTGATAGCAATGATTTGAATTTTGTTTTCAATTTGTTGCTTTCATTTCACATGACAGAAGAAGTGTTTTTCACAGTCGTAGTGTTAGTTTTGCTTTCCACTGCAATCACCTTGAAGCACCGAACAAAGGAAAAGCAGATGTGTTAGCTTTTTGCAAACGGCAAAAGGCAAAAGCCATCGAACAAATCTCAGCATGAAACGGTCCGAAACTATCCACCACCAATGAGCTCTTACTTTATCTGCGTAAGTGTAGCTCCAAATCTTGCCGTTGACCCAGGCTCTGGACACCACCCTGTCGTTCTCATACTCCAGCCGTTCGGACCAGTCTCCGCGGTGAATGGACGACAACTGTCCTCCACCCGAGTAGGTGATGTTTACCTCGGTGTATTTGCTACTGGGGGACCAGACCACGGGCCGGCCCAGCGAGTCATACTGGATGTGAAGGGTGAACTTCCTGTGGTCATCGTAGATCTTCCCTACTCTGGTGCTCTGATCAAAGTCTATGGACAGCAGGTTCCTGTTGTGTGCCTGAAAGAAAATCATTAAACGATCAGGAAGAACAAAATATAACGGGGTTTTTTTCCTTCATTTTACTGCTTTATAATCACAATCAATTTATAAATAAGGCCACAAACAAGCAAATACAAATGAAGTGGCATGTCGGGGACAGGCAGATATTTCATTAGTTCGGATAAATTAATTGTGACATTTAGAACAAACTGGACCTGCATAATAACAATAAATTGCCTTGTGAACAAGTGAAGAACGGAGGCCTGGGGATTGCTAATGAATCAGTACACATCAGATAAAATGTCCTTATGGAATATTCTGTTTGTGCGGTGTGTTTTCTGTGCCAAGGCAACAGAGAAGAGGACTTGCAGTCGGCGTGTGTTGATTTGTGGAAAGTACAGCCAACGGGTTCCGAGACAGTTGACCTATCAGCTCGCTCCCAGTGACGTCAGTAATCACCCAAAACATCGAACATGTTGTGTAACAACAAGCGGTACCGCGGCTCTACAGATTGGCTCAAACACATGGAAGACTCACTGCACTGAGAAGTGACAAGTGTTTGTCATTTCTGATGGGAGTGTGTAAAGGTAAGACTGCACAACTTTTGGTTAACACAGCATACTTCAAGGGCGTGTGGTGGAATTTGACCTATTTACACAGGTTTCCATATTATTCCGCTGGTGTTTGGTTACCACAGTGGATTAATACATGCTGTCTTTGTTGTAGTAATGAATTGAGAGGACTGGAGTCTCTATATTATCTGAGTTAGCTGAAGAATAAGTAGGTGATTTAGTGCTTTACCCTGAGCCTGCGTTCGTAAGTGCTGTAGTTAGTCTTGCTCTGCTCCTTCCTCTGCCTCCACTCTATCAGGCTGGGGGCGTGGTCTCCAGGCAGGCTGATGTTACAGCGGCTGGCCGTGGGACTGACTCCTCCCCCGGCTCCTCCGGGGAGGAGGGGCTCCGTGATGAGTGACAGCTCCATCCCGCTCGCCAGCGTCACAAGGAAGGACCCGTCGGCGCTGACCCTGTATGAACTCTGAGCGTGGTCTGGCGGTGAGATCGTATGAGTGGGTCACACACGTACAGAGATGCACACACACACACACACACACACACACACACACACACACAAAACACAAAGGCGCACAAAACCACATATGCACACAAGGATGCAGCAACAGATGAAAAAAGTGTGAAAAAAACATCAGTCATTGTCTCTGAAAAACAAGTGGAAGAAAACGTCTTGAGAAAAATCAATGAGATACAGCAGCAGACTACATGAATGCAATAAACACAAGTCTGGCTCTTTGGATGGGTGTTTTGTTTTGAATCAACGGCAAAAGTTTTTTCAACAACATTAGCGCTGCACTGTATCTGCTATTGTAGCTTTAGAAAAATGTAATCTATTCAAAAGAAGACCATGAGCAAGAAAGACGGAGAATGAGAGAGCAATAAAAAGAGGAAGAGAGCGACAAAGTAAGAAGGGGTACTTGGCCCTGACAGTTTTTTCACACGTTGCAAAGGTTTCTCAGAAATTGTTCTTTCATTTCTACAGTGCTCTGAGTGAGATTTCACAAAGAATTTGCATGTGCCAATAGGACTTTTTTTTTTTACGCCTCTGCCATTTCCAAAACACAATTATTGAAATAAAAAATAAAAACAGCAAAAATGACCGTAAAACTATATTTTAACCATAAAATTTAATGCAGCTAATAAACTGGATAGTAACTTATATTCCCTCCACCACTATAAAACCCCTTTCTGTACATATGGTTATTGTTGCCTCGGAGGCAGGAGGAGACACAGTGAGTTTGTGGTTGGTGGAAGTACAGGGACGAGGAGGGGGGGGGCACTCTCTAAAATAAGGGGTCATTTCAACTCTTCCCTGGCAGCTCTGTCATACTGTAGCACTTGCACACATGTCTGCGTGTGTGCAAGTGCATTCTGTGTGTTGGAGCAGCTTTTCTCTCCCTGCAGTCCTGTCATTGTGACAACTGCTAGAAAGCAATTAAAGGGATGACATGAGAGGAAACTGCTCCCATGAGCAGCTTCTCCACTCCACTCTCATTTTCTCCCCTTCTCATCTCTGCCCTCTCTTACGTTTTTTTCTTTTCTTCCGGTGGTCATTAATGCGGTTTCACGAGTCAGTCGGATCTGCCTCCTTTTTGTAAATAAGCAAAAAATTATATATGTATATATTATTTTTACTTCCTATTAGTGTGGTTGTGTGACGAAGTCATATCGGATGTGAATTATTTATGCTGCGACTCTCCCGCGCACACATCCAGTGCAGCCGATGAAGAAGGAGAATAAAAAAAGGTCAGTATGTCTGACCTGACCAGGATAACAGCCACGTTACTGCAGTTTGACAGTCATACATTTTTAAACATTACTGTGCCCTTACAGTCCGCCTTCCTCACACATCTGTGTATGATGTCTATGGTCTAGTCCCCCCCCCCCCCAGATGAGTCATAAACGGCCTTTCAGCATGTTTGTGGTAAGCTCGATGGGGGTAGATTCATTGTGGTGAGGCTATAATCTTGTGAATTGAATACATGTTGACATTCACACCTGTGCCTCCATATTACTTTGTTTTCCGACAGATTATGTTCTTACTGACATCTGAGGAGTGACTCAAACACTTGACGACTCATCGGGAGCTTTACCTTGTCTGAACGTGTAGATGGTGTCACTGGCAGACAGGTTGGTGCTGGTGACAAAGTTCTCACGGGTGGACGCCTCGACCTCCACCCGAGACCAACGTTCAAGGTTGCCGTGGAAACCGTTCACCTCACCCGTGGGGAGGGTGATGTTGGTCACGCGGCCCTCGCTGTTGTACCTTGGAGAGTAAACACAAAGACGATGAAGTACAAGTACAAGCACAAACACACACACACACACACAGATATCTGTTGCACTTTGACGGATCAACATGGCCGTGCACACACACAAGCCAATAAGCACACATATACTCACTATCACTCCGTTTCTCCCGTCATTCACACACATCGGCACAGAGTAACTGTCAGCTATGATTTATATGCGTAATTATCCAGCTGTGGAATTTGAGACAGAGGCTCGGTCGGCAGTGAATAATTCAGACGGATGTGTTTTGGTGTGTACTATATGTGTGATACCAAACATGCGTGTGATCAAAGGGTCGCACAGACGTCCTACAGATCATCAGTCACTTAAGCAAAGTTTAAACTGGAAGGAAAGTCTCCCTAGACTTAGCACAGTGATGGCCAACCACCAGATGGCACTCACATTTCACACCGCAAACATAAGCTCTGACTCACATTAAAACACATCCACATGCATGCAATCCCAAGTCCACACACACACACACACACACCGAGAGTCAAGCAAGCAACCATGAATAAAAGAAAAAGTGAACGAGAGAAGTAAAAAAAGAGAAGAATAGACGAAGAGAGAGGAAGAGGACTTACTCATAAACAGTGGTCCAACTGTTCTCATCACTCTTGGTTGCTAGGAGACCTGTGTTGCCATGGTAAGTGATGTGGGCGATGTCATGGCCTTGGGCTGACACCTTCCTCAGCGTTCCGCTGTTGCTAAGAGACAGCCAGTACACCTGTCCACCAGGTAGGGCCAGCCAGAGAGGCACTCCGCGAGCGTCCCTCCTCACCTGCAGCCCGTGGCCGTCGCGACTTGTCAGTCCGGACAGCTGGCCGTCCGAGACGTAGGAGAAGTTGTACAGGTAGTGGCCGGTGATCAGGTGTTTGGTGTGCATGTGGGAGCCGTTCTGTCGTGGGAACGAAGAGATGAGACAGTTATTCATAAATCCATGAATACGATTGATTGCTATGTTCTCAGTTCTTAGAAACTGCTAGCTACTGTAGTTTCATACTAGTCATACACTAAGTGGACATAAATATTTGTGAACATGAGCTATTCTCTCTAAAAGAAGTAAGTCTCAAGCTAAAGTCTGGAGCTGCTGCATAGATAATGAATGGGAGATGAATGTTTTATTTATACCCGAATGATCTTTACTCTATTGCAGTCTCAGTTCTGAATGGGAGAATGTACCCCTGGGTGCTCTCAGGGTAACCTATAACACATCTTACCCATTTCATTGTCCATGGAGCAGTTCCAGACGTCATACTTGATGACATCACAACTTTGAGTTTTAGCACTCTGTATGAACAGCATCACAAGGCGTCCAAAAATACCATTCATAGGGGGTAAACATTATATCAAACTTAACTGCTCAACTTTGTAAACTTTTATTGCCTGAGACAAGGAGGTTATGTCTTCGGTTCAGTTTGTTTGTTGGTCAGCAGGATCATGGAAAAAACACTACTGGAAGAATTTCATGAAAGTTGGTGGAGGGGTGAAGCATGGGCCAAGGAAGAATACATTACATTTTAGAGCGGATCGGAATCACAGCCAAGGTACACTATATATTTATCACTTTCATTAACATTGAAAGATAGGGCATGGACTTGGTGGAGGTCTGCGCTCTCCAAGTGCCCTTCTAGTTTATATATGTGTTCATGGCAAAATATGTGATTTCAGAACGATACGCTAACCTAGCTGATTCTCCATTCAATACTCAGAGCATTAATATAGTAGCAAACAACTACTTGCTATGTAAAGATATAGGGGAGTAATGTCTCCCTGAGATGGTGTTCATACAAAGGTTTTATCCTCATTCTGACCGTAACTGAGAAATCTTACTCAAGTATCTAGACATTTATATGTAAATACCCAGGATCTATAGACTATTGATAGCTCAGGCATAGTGTACCTGGCTGAAGAGATAAAGCTCCTGGTCCAGTGGGGAGCTGATCTCCACCAGTCCAACTGGGCTGGGCTGAGGCTGGTTGGGGCTGACCGCTCTGATCCGAATGTTGCCCAGATCAGCAATATACAGGGTGCCGTTGGGGGCCACGGCCAGAGACGAGGGGGCTTTGAGACGAGCGTCACGGGCGTAGCCTCCGTCTCCTGATAAGAGAAACAAAGAGACGTTGTTTGGGTGAGGACAAACTCTTTATCGACAGAATAGCATGAGCGAAGGCCCCCATAGACACGAACACACTGAGCAATTCAAATCATTCTTCAGAGACCAAGAGACGACAAACCACCGTTGCAAAATATGAAGATCCCATGGTGCCACTTAAGCGTTTATCAGTTTAACTCAGTACTTGGATTTGTTGGGATGCTGCAGGTTCCCAATGGAGTCGATACGACCACCTTGATAGTGACCTCAGCCTATCAGACGGTGGTAGTGGGCGACTGAACCCATTCAGATGTCTTTGATAGCACAGCAGGATTACAGCCCGGGTGAGGCCCCTTTAGATGCTGTCAGCAGTAGGGCTCTGCTGCAGGCAGCAGGGTGACATTTTATCTCTTGACAGCATGCACATGTGCGTGTGTGTGCGTTCATGTCTTCTTGTATTTGCGGGTGTGTGCTCACACGTGTGCGCATGTTCAAAGACACTGTGTGACTGTCTGCGGTGAAGGGATGGAAACGGAAAGCCTCTGAAGAGAGTAATCATCTGTTAACAGCAAGACATGATTGAAAATATGCAAAGTACAACCCAAGGAATAGGGATGGTTACAACCCATTGACTTGTGGCATGGGAGAGACACTTCCCTCCATTTTGAATAGCAAAGAGGCAGACTTTTTACGAGTAGAATTAAATGATAAAATCACATCCTCTGACACTTACAATGAAAGCATGGCCTAACTGTCAAAAGAACACCGGCTTATTTGTTTGGTCCTTTCCTTTTTCCATTTACTACAGTTCAGGTGCCCATCCATGATACACCAACCAGTTCAAACCTTCAGCAGCTAGACAGGAGCTTTTTCTTTCAGTGGCTGTAATTTGAATGAATTTGAAAGGTTTCTCTCAGGCTGGTTCCTGCTGAAATTTAGTTGGAGGTTTTTTGCGAAGGTGGAGTCTCCTCATGAATACAAATACACACCAGACCCCCTACACACACACACACACACACACACACACACACACACACACACTCTCTGTATACCCAACACGCATACATTCACAAATTCAAATTACCTTCGCTCACTTTTCCATTGTGTCATTATAGATAGTCATTTCTTTCCCGTATATTGTCATCATTTACACAAAACATCATTATCAAAGTCAAAACAGCCCTTCTTAGATATTAAGATTCCATCTGGAATAAATAATTTAGACACGTTCAAGTAGAGAAGAAAACAGTGGAGGAGACAGACCAGAGAGGAAAAAGTTGCTCTCAAGCTCTGCTGATAAAATCATTGGCCGGCAGGAACACACAGGCAGCGAGATTTAATCACTCAATATCAAGACACACTGACTATTTCAATTCATTTAAGTTATGTCAAAGCTTTCAAAGTGTTCTGGTTTCGTTTCCCTCCTTATACATCTGAAGCAGGCCAAGTATGATAGCATCTGATAAGATTTTTAAGTGCAGTTACATGTTGTTTTTAGTACTGTAATCCTATTAGACATAATCTAATACTTTCACATTACTTAATCCTGCAGTCGCATAGTGTGTGTGTGTGTGTGTGTGTGTGTGTGTGTGTGTGCGTCTGATGACCCACCGGAGAAGCAGTCACAGTTGGGGTCTATCTTACAGTCACAGTCCGTGGGGGCTCCAGAGATAACCGATATCTCCCCATTGGTTGACACCTGTGAAGTGTTCAAAAACGTCACACACGGCTACAAAATGCTACGGGAGATTATTGTTCAAAAGAACACAACGTTCAATCATTTTTGTTTTTGTCTAATCTCTCCGACAAACAAGATAATGATGGCATTACATGAAAAAAAAAAAAGCTGGGGAATACAGATTAATGATATGAAAATGACGGTGAATTTGGATGCATTTATCTGCTGGTGTTTCAACCAAACAACTGACGATGATATCTGAGGTGATTTTTCCTTTTTTTTTGTAAAAACAAAATAATTATGAATCTTCAGGGGGTAAATGGGGCTTTGTTGACAGATTGATGAATGTTTTACAACTTGAAATTCAGCTCTCCAAACAAATTAAACTGGTTGTCCTGATGGAGACTGCTATAAATGAGGGTGAAAACTGCTACACCAACAGTTTGATTTTGATGCATTTGGAGGGGTAATCTTTTTTTTAACTGGTCCAAGGAGAGCATGCACAATTATTTGGCTTATTCGCTTTTTTTGCGGACAGATGAGACCTCTAAAGCTCAGTAATTAACTCGTAATGTCTTGTGTATTTAACCCTCATCCTAGCAGCATATTTAAAAGGTCCGGTGTGTAGCATGTCTGGGATCTATTAGAACAAATGGAATGTAACATTTTTTCATTGGTGTATAATCACCTGAAACTAAGAACCGTTGTGTTTTCGTTATCTTAGAACGAGCCCTTTATCTCTACAGAGGGAGCCAGGACTCTTTCTGGTGTCGGCCATATTGGACCGCCATGTCTCTACAATAGCCCAGAACGGACAAAACAAACACGGGCTCTAGAGAGAGTTTCTACGTCACCAGAAGTTCTTTACCCGCTTGGGAGCTGCGGTAACGTGAGTCGCAAGACAAAAACAGACAGAACAGAGATGCAGCAGACTCGGATTTTCTGATGTGTTCTGTCTGTTCATTGACTAAGTCATGAACATGTGGAATGATAGAATAAACCCCCTGTAAGATATGACAAAAATACCTCTGGGGTCTGCTGGGATCCCAGTTGGTAGGATTTAATCCCGACAAAAAACTAAGTGCATCAACAAGATGTAACTTGTTTAATTAGAGAACTGTAGGGGCTGGTAGGCAGGTTTTGTTACTGTTACTCACAGAATCAGGCTAGTTGTTTCTATCTGCTTCCAGTCTTTGTGCTAAGCTAACTGCTGCTGGCACGGTAGCCTTATATTTAACGTACGGGCATGAGAGTAGTTTTGATCTCCTCATCTAAGACTCAGCAGGAAAGACAATAAGTGTATCACCAAACATGTTGAACTATTCCGTTAAAATTTGATGATATCAGTCTGCACCTCAGAGTGGAAAATCAATCCTAACTGACCAAAAGATTGCACATTTAGTCCCAACTTCAGGCTCAGCAAAGGAGCAAAAGCATTTCATCCACTTGTCCTCCAGTCATCCTAATCAGTTTCAAGTTCCCAGCAGGAGGACCTTCCAGCGGTGGCGAAATATAAAAAGAATATAATGACCAGCTTTTTCGGAGACACGGACGTGAATTTAAAATTCTTGTGACTCGTAACGGATAAAAAAATGCTTTAACTTGAAAAATATGCCCGCTTCACAGAAGACAAGTTCTTACAATTTTCGCTTAATTGAAAACAAACTAGCGAAGCCTCAACAGAGCTAATTTGGGATGCAATGATTGTGATTTGAACGCACCTCAAAGCTCCAATATTATGCATATTCAACAACGTCCCTGCCTCTACACAAGATTAAAAATCAAATTAAACTATTGGTTACGGATGTCGGGTCCTTGATATTATGGCCAAATGTTTTGTGTGTGTGTGGCAGAATCAACGTGATAGGACCATCAGAGCAGACCAACAGCAGTGCCAAAGCATTGCCTTAATACTTGTTGAAGCCAAGGCACGTTCACAGTCAATAGGGCTTAATGCACTGAACAAAACACTGAACAAAAAAAGACTTGCTGACTAAACGGTAAAAGATGCAGCTTTTGTCAGTCATTTAAGATGAAATGTAGCGCTTAATTTGCGTGTCATTTTTTTATCAGTCGAAAACATACCGTCAGCCTGTACCTGTACGCAGCTAGTTTGTCTTACAAGCGACACAGGGTTCTGTATCTCATTTAGCTTCCCCTGCATCAAACTGTATCTGCATCAGCCTGTCAGGTTCTTGAAGGTGTTGATTGCCCTTCAGAACCGCTGAGAAAAACCGCAACCCATCATCATTAGTTTTGTTTCACGGCTCATCGTCATAAAACGGCTTCAATCACTCTCTAAACGAGAACTTCTACTTGCTGCTGAGAGTGTGTGTAGGAACCTTCATGAATAACCCTCAAGTCCTATTTTGAGATTTCATTATTTTTTTTAGTTCTAGTTTGACTTTCTGTGCGAATGATCCTGAGACGCGTGGTGAATATGGGCCCGGATATACGCTGCATAAAATAAGAGTGACAAATACAGTAAAAAAAAAAAAGACATCAAAAGACTTGACTGCCCTATCTAACATGGCTGGCCAGACTCCATCAAAAAGGCATCTGAGGTTCTTTATGTTCCTGTCTGCCTCCACATGGACTCAGCGTTGTGCTGCTGACCACGAGGGGACTATTGATTGAGTCCAGCAGGCAATTTCTTTGTGTTGCCGGTGCTCAAATGGGGCTGTGATTGCACGCTGCTTGTTAATGGAGCTAATGGAGAAAGAAATATGTTTTCCTTAAAGTGAAAATTGGCGTTTGAGATTTTATTTTATCTTTTTGGAAGCATCAGATTTTCCTATGTCCATGTGTAACACTTTCTTGCTGCACAGCATCTGTGATCACAGCAAAACAACCTGACCGCAATGATGCAACAAGGGTGAAGGTGAAACAGTGTCATAAGGCCAAAAACGATGGGTAATAACACTTCAACATGAGGACAGTAGTGTCTTTAAAAGTTCCTTATGCGAAAGTGTTTTGTAACCATTTCTGAAAATGGGAACCTGATGGATGGTATCAGTCACTGACATCACATCCATCATTGGTAGCTGCCCTTCAAAGCCCAATCAGAGCATCTCTAGCTAAAAATAAGCTGAAAGTAACTACGCATGGTGTTTTTTTCAGCGACAGAATGACCTGTTGGATGCGGTTGATGCGCCTCTCGTCAGTCTCAGCGATGAACAGCGTGCCCAGGTGGGACAGGGCGATAGCCTTGGCGGCCTCCAGGGTGGTGCGCACTGCAGCCCATCTCACCAGGTGGTGGTCGATACCTGGGACCTGGCAGTGGATGGGGCGGCCCGCCACGATGCGCACCTGAAGATTTTCTGATACCTGATAAAAAACAAAAAATGATCATATATAAGCTATGTCCAGTAATTCTTTATGGTAAGTGGAATCAGCTACATGATGTCGTTTGCTGATCCACTGCATTCAAAATCACATGATCTAAGCCTGCGTCATCTCACGACTCACTAAGTTTTCAGTTAAGGAAGTTTGAATGTGATACGTAAAACCAGAGGGACAATCTCTAAAAACATCTTCTAAAAACAACTTCTGCACAGAGTGTTGATTGCATGATTTAATTCAAGGTGATCTTTTCCTTTCTTTTCTCAGCCTCACTCGCTCTGAATGCACCTTAAGTGACAGCACTGCAAATTGTGTGAAATATAACTCTTTATTCCTCGGCTATGCATAGTGCCGTTATCTTTTCAGAAAGAAAACAAAACATTTGAATAGGAGAGAGGTTAGAAGTTAATTCACTGGATTTGTGTGTGTGTGTGTGTGTGTGTGTGTGTGTGTTCAGGACTGTTTCTCTACCTGTAGGACAATGTTGTTGTCCAGGATGTAGAGGGAGTTGTCCAGCGGGTTAATGGCCAGGTCTGTAGGCCACTCCAGGCGCACCTGAGAAATGACACAGACCACACATACAATAAAATTAGAACAGGAGAAGAAGAAAACCGTATTGGCTATCCCCACACAAGAGTCAGCTACAGGTGATACAAATAATAGCTCCTTAATAACACAGCATTAGGCCTCCTGACCCTCCCCGCTCATGCAAAGGTCAGCGGCGGGCAGGGAGCCTTCCCCGTGTTTATTCAAGACTCGCCTCGGCACCGTCGCAAATGTCAGCCAATAACCGTGATCGGCGCGAGCTCAAATAGCACACCCTGCCCGCCGGCGTCGCGGGGGTCAAAGACAGACAAACCCACACTAGCGCTCGGCCAGCCGCGTCGCCGTCTATCTCGCAAACACACACAAACACTGAAACTGTGAGCTGTGGAGACCAGGCGGCACGTCTGAGGGATCAGTGAGGTGATTGATGACTCCCGAGGATGGATTGGTAAATAAATGGATCATGTTAAATTGCCACTGACATGTCCAATTATAGGCACTGTCAAATGAGAGAGAAAAGGGTTCACTCTGAAATCCCATTTTAAGGAGGTAGAGAGATTCATCAAGCAGGACTCACTCTGTCCTTAGCCGGAGAAGACACGCATCATATCTCTCCCGCTCGTGATATTGAACTTTGCAGTGATGGCAGGCCATCACTTTTTACAAGTTTAGTTGAGCTGGTTCTGCTCAATTATAGTCAAACTGAATCTAAAATGATAAAAAAAGGACTATATACTGTATATTCCCTGTGTTCGCTTTTGATTTGTGGTAATTTTCAGAAAACGACATTTGAGCAGCCACACGTATAGTGTGACGTTGATTATTAATCTCTTTGATTTGGATCTACATTACTGCGGGGCATTAGCGTATATGAAAGACAGCGATGCCGGCTAACGTTAGCGAGCCGCTCCTCTGCATAAGAATGTGCTCAGGAGCAGCTGGTGAACACAAGAGAAGAGTAACGTCCTAAAGAATTATTGTGATTGTTAGCAAGAGGGGCAAACTAGCTTCCATTTTATCGTGTATTGGCGTGCAGTGTCATAGATTCAATTTCCTTCTACAGAAAGTGAGACTTCACATCTATGCTGTTGGCTTTGCATAAATGAAAGCGGTAACGTTTGTCTAGCCATGCGGAGGTTTTCCATCAATACCGATGCCACGATGAGGTCGCAGCAGTTTATGCGAATAAACACAGACGGATGGTGAACGCGCCGCGGAGGCCGACGACTAACACAAGCTAGCTGACATGGGCCCCTTTGAGGACATATAAGAGCATCACTGGGAATTCACCCCGGTTGAACACACATATTCACACACACATACACGCGTGTGGGCAGATATCCCTCTATAGAGCCGGCAGTTCATCTATAATTCAGCTTCTGCTCTAATAGGCCTGATATAAGTCAGCAGTATGATCTGAGGACTGGCTGATCAAATCTGTGCAGTAGCTGTCTTTGGTCTTCACTGCACACACTCTCTCTATCTCGCTCTCTCTCTCACACACACATACAGAAAAAAACGCATACACCTCTATGGAGACAGAAAGAGTTTCTGTGGAAGAGGCAATTTAGATCAACAAAACGATCACTGACTGTAAGAGATCGTATTATTTCTGGGTTAATTACGCTAATTAGCTGACACAAAATGCAGGAGTCTTATATATTTACGGCCTATTTTAAGGCAAAAAAACACGTGGCTCTGGCTCTCTCTCTCTCACTCATTCCAACTAGGCCGCATTATTAGCTTACCTGGGTGATGTCCATGCGCGCATCGCAGCTCAGCGGCTGCGTCGACATCAGTCCGTTTGAGCCAATCACAGTGGAGAGCAGACCCCTCTCATTAATCTTCAGAATGGTGGTGCCGTCGACGAAGTAGACGACACCTCTTTTATCCACCGCAATACCTGGGCGGGTGAGAGGGAGAGAGAGAGAGAGAGAGAGAGAGAAAGCAGAGTGAGCTTATTTGGAGACGACAGAGCGGGAGCGAGTAGGGGTTGAGAGAACAAAAGGCTGAAAACGTGAGAGACAGTGTGAGAGAGGAGGAGAGATGGAGAGGAGTGAGTAATGGAGAGAAGTAGAGTGGAGAGAGGAGTGGGCTTTGGAGAGGCATCCAACTCAGTTAGACATTCAGCTCAGCATGCGGCTGTCTTATCAAAGGCACTGCACCACAGAAATGTAATTATATTTCCATTCCGGAGCCCACTAAAGGGATTAGAACAATGCAACCGGAGGAAGAAGTTATTTGTCACATTAAATGTGAGCAGGGTGCCGCAGTGAACTTTTGACATTTGGCGCATGTGCAATATTAAATGTGCGTCCGTGAATATCTGCATCTGTGCGGATGCTTGCACAGCGCATGTGAACACATGCTCCGCAGTTGTAACATACTTGAACTCTCCTTGCAGAGAAGCTCTGCAGTAGACAGCGAGCGGAGAGAGAAAGAGAGAGAAGGGGGGGAGAGAGAGAGAGGTAAGTCCAGGTATTAAAGGTCATCTCTTATGGATGAGGAGCGACCTTCATCCCCGTCTCATCTCCGTACAGAGAATAGCCCTTTGACTCAACTCTCGTCAACAGCAATATTCTCCCACGACTCAACCCTCACCTCTCAAACCGTTACGCCGCCAATTCCCCTTGATTGCTTTCATTTAGCATCTGCGACAATAAGCCATAATTCAGTATTTCTACCCGCCATCTCCCAAGCATGTGGCTCACTGTTGTGCCGTTTAAAAGTGCATTGAGTTTATAGTTTGCCATTAAGTCGTGTCAAGTTTATGTATATATCCCTTTATCTCAAGCGCGCCTCAAAGGATAATGGAGATAAAGCCTTCTTATATATAACCTCAATAAATCCCCAAACTAAATGGTGCAATACAATATGCAACAAAAGAAACCATAAAAACAATCTAATGCCAAGTAGCATCATGAAAAGATATAAAAAGGGCTATCGTTCCTTTATTTGTTTTCGAATTTTATATTTCGGTTAATGTTGCAGACATAGAGCAGCGTTCGTTTCTGGTCTCTGTTTGGCTCTGCTTTGGTCCCTACCAACTGAAATACCTCTCCATTTAGACGCTAAATGCTCCGCTGTTTTAACCAGGAAGTCATTCACTTTGTTAAGTCTGTCGTCAGAAAATAGTTTAAAACGTCCCTTCAACATTTACTAAAGCACAGGGCGATGTCTTCAAATTTCTTTTAAATCTTTTTTTCCATCATTTAATTATATTTTACTTTAATTAGTAGTTTGTTGAATCGAAGAAGAAGAGACCAGTATGTTTCGTACCTCCTTTAAAAGAGGGATCTCACCATGCATAAGAGCCACTACATCATGAATGAACTGGACAATGGCGCGACACCATCAGTATGCGTTACGTCTCCAACTCCCCCCCCATTCAGTCATCTTTTCCCCCTTGATCTTTATGCTGGTTCTGTCAGTCTTTCTCCTTTCAAACTCGGCCATACTGGATTATGTGGGGATGCGCCTCTACTCGCTTTCTGAGCCTCGGATAGAAATCGCCACCGCCCTGTTCCCCAGGCGGCGTTAAGGTCTCATCCTCCTTGACATACAATAGCTTTCTTTACACGTGATTTCATTCACCATGTGCACACACACACACACACACACACACACACACACACATGCAAACACAGGGCACCGCCACCACAACTAGATTCGCGAATGTCCTCAAACGGAGCAACCCTGGACCGACCCCGTGAGTCATAAATCGTGCAGGTGGAGTGGAGGTTGGCAGGGGGGAGGGCCAGGGTCAGTGTGTTTCCTCCTGAGGCCAGAAGGTGAACTGCAGAGCTCTCCCTCCTGGCCCCTTCGTCATCCCTGTGACACAGACAGATTACACCACCCACACCCCCACCCCCACGACACCTTTCCTCTCCTCTTCTAGCTTCCCCTCGCTCTCCGTCCTCCCTAACTTGATCTTCTTCGGCTCTCTTTTTGCTCCCTCTTCCCTCCCCCCAGTTCTTTTGTTTTTATCTCTGTTGTCCTTTGCTTTTGTTTCTGCAGGTTCGCTCCCTCTATCGTGCCCTGAATGTTATAAGTGCTAATCAAATCAGGGGCCCCTGACCCTTAAATAACGGCTGGGCTCTTTCTTCCACTGTTCGGCACCGCTCTTCATTTCTTCCTCTCGTTCCTCTCTGCCTTTCCATTTCTCCCCCTGTCACCTAGCATTACGCAGGAGTGACATCTCAACCCACAGCGCAGTCTCGGCCCACTTAGATCTAAAAGTTGGCACATTCTACCTGCTCTAACGCCGGCCTCGGATCCTTACAACTTTCCTTTCACTTTTCCATCCATTCCTCCTCCTAGCACCCTGAACCTGTCCCTGATCTCAGAGCTCATAAATCCTGCACAAGGACATGATGCGGCAGCCAGGACTCTCTCTAAATACTGATTTCAGTTCTCTCCCTCTCCGTCTCTGCCTGGATATTACTCTTTCTTCTCCTCTCTTTTGGTTCTATTGACTTCCATCCTAAATTCTTCCTTTCTTGCCTTTGTTTTTGTTTTTTTTGCTTTGCTGACACCATCAGTATGCATGCTCAGGATCTGCATGTCTTATGTTTGCACGGGCAGCGTCTAAATAGCTGCCCATCTATCATCAACAATAAACACAGGACTAACTTATTCATCCTCACACAAGCGCAACAATGAGGAACGATTGCTATTATTGCTCGGCATTGGCGGAAAGGATTTACCAGTTGATGTGTTGTTTAAGAGTATTTCACTGTGCTTATTGAAAAGGCTGCAGATTAGTCCACATTCTCCTTGTCAGGGGCTGGATTTCCTGCTGCTGTGGGTAAAGCTGTACGGCGCGTTCAGGGAATTTATGGCCCCTCCGTAAAGCCGATGGATACTCACAAGATATCAAAAGATTTACTGTGTCTCCCCAGGTGGACCTGGCCCTCTGATACTCATGTTTAAAAGCTGGCAGACGCACCAGTGGAGAAATAATTGAGATAAATCTCAACTGGAGAGGGAGACGCACATTTGGCTAAAGTTGGGACTGGATTTTATCATCAAAGAAGAGTGAATTAGATGGAGTTGGATTGACCTTGGTAAAAACTGAGGGAGAGAGGAGAGGATGATAAAGTGACACTATTCGCATTCGTCTCAGATTTAGGGAGAAAAATGCAGCCAAAGAGAAAGAGACAGACAGCAGCAGAAGTGGTGTGAAAGAGGCGAGAGGTGGCAATGAGACAAAGGGACGTGATGAGGAATTGCTTCAATTAACCATTACAGGCCAATCACTCTCAATCAAAGAATCTCTTTGTTCTCTGTCCTTGTCAAAAGAATATCAGTTATAACCGCCTCCCCGTGGCATTGCAATACAATCCTATCTGATTAGTGCCCTGGAGATGGGTCTCAGAGAGTAGAAGTGTTGATTACAGCTTTTTGATGAGAAGGAGCCACTGGGGATTTTTTTTTCTCGAGCAGAGCGCAAAGGAGAGGTGAGGACATTTGTAAAGTGAGAAATGAGATGAGGTGGGAACGACTAATTATGACAAAAGTTGTAGATTATGTACCTTATTTAGCAATAATGCCCTGTTGGCATACAGTAAGATCAGGATGTGGTGTGTGTGCGTGTGTGTGCGTGGGTGCGTGTGTTTCTGCTGCATACTGACTGCTAACACCTGAGCCCTCAAGAGTGCAGGAAGTCGGCCTGCTGGTGTTGTTCAAATTTCCCTTCTACAGTACTTTCAACCTTCAAATGTTGACAGCAAAGCTGCCTCTATGGATCAAAGCAAGAGGAATTGTAAAATCGTGTGAAAAAACAAACACATCAGTGTCTGTCAGCCGGGGAAACAACCACCGGAGTGCAAAATAAGCAGAAACTCTGCGAAGGGAAACCTGCCTATAGGTTATATTTATGGAGGAGAGAGAATAATGTGTGCATGTATGGAAGTTGCATTCATATCTGAAAACTTTCAGACAGCCACGCGTGCAGCCGTGCACACACACACACAGATTGCCAGCAGCCTGAGGAGTAAGTCCTTCAATCTGCCCTCACATATCCCCAGGCTCAGTGGGTGTTAATGATATGGACTGACATATTATTACGGCATCTAAATGACGCTAGCTGTTGCTGATTATATCCCATGGCGCCTCCGTACACAGTAACTGTGTGGTGTGACTGACAACTGAATGCAGACAGACGGACAGTTTCACCTGCACAACCGGCCCCGCGGCGAGGGACTCTAGCCATAAATAAAGTCAACCCAAAATTAGCTGGGGAAAAGCCTGGAGGGTTCACTAACTGCTGCAGTCCGACTGGAAGTGACGCTGAAGAACACATTGTTTCAAAGAGCCTTTTAGCTGGCTGTGTGGCGAACTGTTCCCTTTGATCATTGCTCCACGAGAGCGCACGATGGTCATTTGTATGCGAGCGTGTGAATATATATACGGCTGAGTGTATGCGCGCGTTGTCAACGTGTGCAAGCTCGAGTTGTGGCCCGCGCACGTGTGTGTGTGTGTGTGTGCCGTGAAGTCGCTAGGCGAAGAAGATAAGGCATGGCAGTTAATCACATTGTGCGCATATGCAAATATAGAGCGGATAAATCACAGCGTCTGCAGATGAGAAATTCACACTCCCACACACACAACTTTCTTGAAGGCTATGAGGTTGCCGATGTGCACTAAAGGAGAGGGGGGGGGGGGGGGGGGGGGGGGATAAACCTGTTCACTCAATCCCAGCACTGTGCACCATGCTGATGTTGTGTCTGCACGTGTTTGACTGCAGGGCTGTATGATTTCGCACCTGCATTAAAAAAACAAACGACACACGTATCAATTGTTTATGCTGCCGTCAATGGCACGCTGGGATTGTGTACATGCCGCTCTGTGAACTGCGACATGCACGTCTATGCGCTGCAGCACTGTAAAACAAGTGCCGTT